GAAAAGATTGAAAACTAACATTTTTTTTTACTTTTTCATTATTGACAATTCAACATCTCCATAATCAATCAACCAAATCAACTATAAACACAACAACTACAACACATAATGAGAGCTGCTGTCAGATCCAAGCTAACGAATAACTTATTCTATACTACATTTGCCGTTGCTTTTCTCACAGTTGCAGGTGGTTCAGTTGTTCCATGTCCAGCACATGGTATAAATAATGAAGATGAAAAATCTTATAGTCAAACAACTAAAAAGATTGAAACAAATTAATGACGTTACGATATAAACAAAATGGCATATAAATACAACACAAATACAAAACAAAAGGCATAGAGAGATGATTTAATTGATATCATCAAAGTTTTAATTCTACAATATTTTTTACATATTCAATTTAATTGGTTATTTGTTATTTTACATTGGGTATACTTTTCTGTTATTATATAAGCTTGTACATATATACAGAATTTTTGGTTTTACACGTATGAAAATTGAAATTTTTGAAAATAATTTGTAGCCAATTAAAAATTGTTAATAAAAATCTGAAAAATGAAATCGTGGATTATGTAATGATGAGGTAATTAAAAGTAGGGTAAATGCTTATATAATAAACACGTGAGCATATGTGTCCTTACCAATTCAGAAACTATTGAGGTTTTTTCCAATTTTATAATAATGCTTGTCCATTTAAATACTTTAAGCGCCCATTTATTCTCTTGTTTTAATCAACACTTTGTCACTTCAATTGAAAGAAACATCAATTATTCAATCATAAGAAATGTCTGACGATAACGTGTACGAGTTCAACGACAACGAGCAATCTGCTTTCGATATCCCAGATTCCACCGTGGATGAAGGATCTAATGAACATGAACAGGAACAAGAACCAAAACAGGAAGCACAAGAACAAGAACAGGAAACAGCGGTTCCAAACTCTGAAACTCAAACTCCAACAGAAGCCAAAGATAATGCTACCAAGGAAGAAACTCCTGAAGAAGAAAATGACGATGAAGAATATGATCCATCTGAAACTAAAACTATCGCTGAAGATTCTAAAGAAGTAGAAAAAGTTGAAGATGAAGATGATTTGTATGCTTCTGAAGATGAAGATAGACAAAATTCTAAACCTGACTCATCAACTACTTCAAATACTACTCCATCTCAAGAATCAAGTGTAACTGAATCAAGTACAAAATTACCAAAAGAAAAAAAGAAAGTTTCATTTTTAGAACCTGAAAAAGATTCAAAACAAGATGAAGATAATGAAGAAGATGAAGATAGTGATTATGATCCTACTGCTGACGTTTCAGAATCTTTAACCACTAGCTCTAACCCAACCATTTCAAACTCATCAGATTCTAATTCTAATTCTATCTCTACATCTATTAATCCTTTAACAAATGCTGATAATAATTTACAATCTTATGCATCCAAAATTATGAGTTCTAATTTATTATCTGATCCTGAATTTTTAAAATTATCTGATTCTGAAAAACAACAAAGAATTTTAGAAGAATTGAAAAGTCCAACTCCATCTAATAATACTTCTTTAGCTTCATCTTCATATAATCCTTTACAATCTTACAATAATAATAACACTACTGCTGATCATAGACCAAACTTAAGAATTCCAATGAATAATGATGAAATTGCTAAATATAATTTATTTGTTGATAATGAAGCTAAATATTCAACTTCAAGACATACTCCAGCTCCAAATTCAAGATTATTTGTTGGTAATTTACCATCAAATTCAATTTCAAAACAAGATTTATTTAGATTATTTTCAAGATATGGTACAATTTTACAAATTTCATTAAAAGGTTCTTATGGTTTCATTCAATTTACTGATGCTCAAGCTGTGGAAAAAGCTATTGAAGTTGAAAGTCAATTACCATTAAATGGTAAAGATTTAATGTTACAAATTGCTAAAAATTCTAAACCTGGTTCAAATGATTCAACATTTGATAGAAAAAGAGGTAGAGAAGAATTTAATGATTATAATAATGATCGTCCAAATTCAAGAAGAAAAAAAGATATTGAATGTAAAATTCTTGTTAAAAAAAATGCTGATCCAGGTTATACAAAAGAAGTTAATCGTCAGTTCCATTCTGCAAATATTAATTCTGAATATGAATTTTTAAAACCTCATATGGTTTTAAAAGAAAAAACCAATGAAGCTGCTTATGGTGGTTGTCTTGGTGTTGTTTTAATTAATAGAAATAGAACTTGTGATGTTCAAACTTATGAAAGAACTTCTGATGGTTCAATTAAATTTGATGAATATTTAGGTGTTACTTCAAATGAAGCAACTGAATTATTATTAAGAGCAAAACAAAATCAATATAATAATAATGGTAATAGTAATAATAATAGATCAGGATTTGGTGGATTATCACAAGGTGGGTTTCAACAAGCTCAACCACCATTACAACAACCACCACAACAACAAACTCCATTTTTTGGTCAACAACAATCAAATTTTTATCAACCACCACAACAACAACAAGCTGCACCACCAGCTATGGATCCTCAACAATTGTTACAATCATTAACAGCTTTAGGACCAAATGCTTTACAAAATTTAATGGCTATTGCTCAAGGTCAACAACCTCAACCTCAACAACCTCAACAACCTCCATTCCAAAATCCATATCAACAATTTTCTCAACCTCAACAACCTCCTGCAACTAATCCTTCAGTAAATTTAGCATCTTTATTAGGTCAAGTTTCTCAACAACAACCTAATCAATCACAATTCCCATATTCTAATTCAAATACTTATCAACAATCTCAAGTTCCTACTCAACAATTTCCTCAATCTCAATCTGTTCCAACTCAATCACCTCCTCAAAATCAAGCACAACCTGGTGCTGCTCCAACAATGAATATCCAAGAATTAATGGCAAATTTACAAAAATTTAAATGATTTAATGAAATATGATAACCCAAAGAAAATCCATTGTTTTTTTAACTCTTCATTTTCGTTTCCTATATGTGTGTTTATTAAATTTGTTTTTGTTTTCCTATAAGGTCATGTTAGTTCTAAACTCTTTTATTGTAACTTGATTTGTATCATTAATAAAATCTGTATATCTAAGTTTTTTCATATACATTCAACAAATAATATTTCATATTGTAAAAATTCGTAAAAAACATTGCATTATAAATATAAACCATCAGCTATACACATCATGATAACACCAGTCATAAAAAATTATGGTATATAAATTTTACTATAACCATCAACTTTCCTTCTACAACAAACACAAATACTAAAACCTCTAACACCTAAAGAGATTCGACAATTTTCACAAAGTGCAAAACATTTACATGGCCAAACTATAATTTCTCTATTATTTGTTTGACAAACAACACATGATAAATCTGTATCATCTTGTTGATGATCATGATGATTATGACCATGATTTGTAGTTCTATTTTGTAATAACACTTCTTTTAATAACATATCTTGATTTATTTTAGAATATAAAGATCTTGTAAGTCTTTTATCTTGTAATAAATGAGTTTTTAAATTATTTAAATAAGAAATTTGATCAATATTTGTTGGATTAATTAATTCAATTAAATCTTTTGGATTTATAAGTTCATCAATTGGTGTTGTTTTCATAAGAACCCTGTTGTTTATTATTGATGAAGTTCCAGTGGCATCTGATAATCTTGCTTGTGCAGCTGATGATATATAACCTGGGGAATCAAATTCTTGATCAATATCTTCATAATCAGAATCAAAATCTAATGGATCTAAATCTGATTCTGATTCATATATAAAATCTTCAGAATTATCTATATCTGATGATAACAGTTCATTTTCATTAATATTTTTGAAATTAATATTTGAATTTTTCAAATCATTTGAATTTGATCTTATTGATGGTTTGGCGGTAGGTATTACTGATCCAATTGAATTTTGATCATCATGATCATAATTTTCATCATTAATATTGGAATCATTATTTTGTCCACGTTTTTGTTGTTTCTTTGATTTAAATAATAACCAAAATAATTTCTTATAAAGAATAGCAATATTTAAAAATCTTTTAAAAATACTTGAATTTTGATATTGTTCATCATCAATTGTAGAATTTTCAGATTCTTTAAATAATAATTCTGGATTTGTTTGTAAATCATTCATATATCCACTTATTAAATGTGAGTTATTTGATTCAAGATATGTTTTTTTAGGTAAGATTAAATCTGATAATTCATTAACATATTCTTCATTTTCCACAGCTGTAAACATAATATAACCAAATCTCATTAATGCAGAATGGAAATCATCATTCATTTGTAAATTTATAGATTCTTTTAAGTTTTCAATCATAACAGTATATGTTAAAGTTGAAGCATCTTGATTAATTAAAACTGCAAGATAATACAAAATTAAACATAATGATATTATAGAAAACACTAAAAATTGTGGAATAGCTGAAATTATGGCCACTGTAGGGAAAAATAATACACCACCAGTATAAATATTATAACAATAAAAAATCAAGAACCCTAACCCCATTATTGTTGATGGAATTAATTGATAGTTTTTAGTATTTGTAATACCTAAAATATGAATAATTAATTGATGAATTATGGAGAAAAGACAAATATATAATAATTGACTTGATGGAACACTTAAGAATTGACATTCTTGAAATGCTAATGAATGTTCAAATAATGTTAAACCAGTATCATTTATAGCTGATTGATTTGAAGTTATCGAAACAAAAGTTTCTAAAAATTGTGAAATACATAATGAAATAAATATTCTCCAAAGGAAATTATCAACACTTGGAACTTCATTTTGAAACATATTAAACCCAGCAATTTGAACATGATTTTGTAAGTAGGGAGTTATTGAAACAAATTGTTTTAAAATATCATATAATGCCTTTATCAACACCGCGATTGACATGAATCTCAAGGTAATCTTGGGTACATTTGATAATCTATGAATATTACGTCTTGAAGAAGCGAAAACCACCGTTCTATTCAATATTATGGCCATGGTCATACAAGCACCAGCATATGGACTCACCAAATAACCGAAATTGATTGTAGCTGTTCTATCCGGTAAAGCAGCTTTTGATTGTTGTTGTATAGCATTACTAAACGAGCTTAGAATACGGGGCATGAACCAAATTTCAGATGACTTGTTGATGTACTCTGCACTGAACTGAGCCGCTGTGGAGCCCAAGGACCCCATGGAACCGTTTGTACTGTTTGTCCCATTCATCACCATCTCTTCAAATACCCATGCGACTCTAAAAAACCAGCTTCAAATCAAATTCAAAGCTAAATTTGTTTTCCTGTTTGATTTGAATTTTTGGCGTGTGCAATCTTTATGTAGAATTTAAGCGCTGAAGCCGTGAACTAATTCCGACTTTTTTTCTGTCTGGAGCCGGAATTCAACTGAGTCAGATTAATGAGAATAATTAAAACCAAGTATAAAAGAAGTGAATCATCTCTTACCCCCAGAATTTTATAATCTTATATTGAAATTACTATATCAATTACTATTCAATACTATAACAAACAATGTCTCATATCTTCTCAGGAATCCAACAATTACCACCAGATGCTCTTTTCGGGTTAAAAGCTCGTTATACTGCTGATACTCGTTCTGAAAAAGTTGATTTAGGTATTGGTGCTTATCGTGATGAAAATGGTAAACCATGGGTTTTACCTTCTGTTAAAGAAGCTGATAAATTAATTCATGAAGATCCAAATTTTAATCATGAATATTTACCAATTCAAGGTTTTGCAAGTTTTGTTGATGCTGCTGCTAAAGTTATCTTGGGTGATGAATCTCCAGCTATTAAACAAGAAAGATTAGTTTCAATTCAAACTTTATCAGGTACTGGTTCTTTACATATTGCTGCTAAATTCTTGGTTAAATTTTATAATCAATCTCAAACTGTTTATTTATCAAAACCAACTTGGGCTAATCATTATCAAGTTTTCGAATCTTTAGGTTTAAAAACTGCATCTTATTCATATTGGAATACAGAAACTAAATCTTTAGATATTGAAGGTTATTTAAATGATATTAATAATGCTCCAGAAGGTTCTATTTTCCTTTTACATTCATGTGCTCATAATCCAACTGGTTTAGATCCAACAAGAGATGAATGGATCAAGATTTTAGAAGCCTTAAAATCTAAAAATCATTTACCATTATTTGATTCAGCTTATCAAGGTTTTGCATCAGGTGATTTAGCTAATGATGCATGGGCTATTCAAAAAGGTGTTGAAATTTTAGAAACTCCAATCTTGATTTGTCAATCATTTGCTAAAAATGTTGGTATGTATGGTGAAAGAATTGGTGCATTCCATTTAGTTTTACCAACTTCAGATAATAAATCTGCTATTTTATCTCAATTACAAACTTTTATTAGATCAGAAATTTCAAATCCACCTGCTTATGGTGCCAAGATTGTTTCTAAAATTTTAACTACTCCATCTTTAAGAAAACAATGGGAACAAGATTTAATTACAATGAGTCAACGTATTACAAGTCAAAGAATTGCCTTAAGAGATGCTTTAGTTCAATTAGGTACTCCAGGTACTTGGGATCATATTGTTAATCAACAAGGTATGTTTTCATTTACTGGATTAACTAAAGAACAAGTTGCAAGATTAGAATCTAAACATGCAGTATATTTAGTTAGTTCAGGTAGAGCTTCAGTTGCAGGTTTAAACAATCATAATGTTCAATACGTTGCCAAAGCCATTGATGAAGTTGTCCGTAACACTGATACTAAATTATAATCTTGATGCTTTTTATTACCTATTTTTAGTTTACCTTTTCAAAATATAATTTAATGATTTTAATTTATGTCCCATTATAATAATTATGTAGACATCTCCAAAAAGAGGAAACTGCCTAATTGGGATAATAGATTCTTTTTTCCTTATTTAAAATTTAAAGTCGCGTTTTCCGCGTTTTAAAGAAAAGAAAAAAAATTATACCCGTGAAACAAAAGGTATAACCTCATGTCAAGATATTGAATTGATATTGAATTGATCAACTTTGGGTTAAATTTCCATTAAATTTCCGTGGTTTCAATCTATTTACTTCAATTGAAAATCAAATCTAAATGTTGAAACTTCAGGTGATACTTGTACCTCCAAGTGCCGTTAGAAGGGAACAAAGATTGTTTCAACAGGCACCATCAGGTCATCCAAATCAATCATTAAATTCATCACCAAACTTTTTAAATAGAGGAATTGGAACTAGTACACCAAACACTAATAATAATCATAATAATTCACAAATTTATCAAAATTCAAGTTTTAATTCTCAAGTTCCAATACCATTTGAAAGACCTTCTTTAAGGAAATTTTTACATATAACTTCAAGAGATAAATCATTATTAGAAGTTGCTCATGAAATTAGTATAAGATTTGAAAAATTATATCCAGATGAACCACCATTAGAAATTCTAAAACTTCAAGATTCTCAAGAATGTGATTTAGATCCTGATTATGTTTCAGGTGATGTTTTCGATTATGATAAAGCTGTTCGTGTATTATTAAATAATGAATTAGCTCCAGAATTTTCACCACAAAATCATATTGGTGATGTTTCAAATATCACTACAGTTACACAAGATGGTTATCGTAATAAACGTTCTGCATCACCTATTTTTTCAAGTCAATTATTACCAAAGAAAAGACGTCAAGATGGTCGTGATTCCGTATGGAGAGGTCAAGGTGAATCTAATGAATTAAGAAGAAGATCTACACCATTATCAAATCAAATATTCCCAGATCATCAACAAGAACAACCAGAAAATGAACAAGAACAAGATGAACGTGAAGAAAACTTGTCATCAAGAGATGTTAATAATTCAATTAGAAATATTTCAATCAATGCAGAAGATTCTGCTGAAACTTCATTACCTCCACCAGAAGATGATGATACTAGATATTTGGATCCAAAGAAATCTAAAGCTCCAGTGGCAACTTCACCATTACCACCATCATCTAAAAGAATAACTTCAGGAATGCTTGTTGCTCCAGAACCACAATTGAAAGATGTTGAAGATGAAGTTTTAGAAGAGAAACAAATTAATGATGATATTACACAACGTATCATCCCAGTTAAGAAATCATTAGAAGATAAAACTAATGAAAATATATCTGCTGTGCAAAATGGTCAAAATGATGAAGAAAGTGATGAAGAATCTGAAAATGAAAATATCGCAAATGAAGATATCTTACCTCCACCTTCACAAATTAAGAAACATACACAAATTTTAGAAAAACCAAATGTTGGTAATACTTCATTATCAAATACTGTTACTTTAGAAAAACCAAAAGAAGTTTTAAAACCAGTTCCTGCACCAAAGAAATCTGATAAATCAATACTTAATGCTTCACCAGAAAAAATTGATAATGTTTCACCACAACCTATTGATTCATCTGAACCAAATACTAAAGAAGCTTCACCAGATATTCAATTATCACAAAATACATCAGCATCAAACATTCTTGCAAACATTTCTAAAAGAGGGGATATTACAAATAAAGATAGTTTTTCAGATTCTGATGAAGATCAAATTGAATCAATTGATGAACCAGAATTTACTAAAGATGAAATTATTAAAATTTTCAAAAGTGGTAGATTACCAGCTTCAGTTACCAAAAAATTTGCTAAACATAATTCACAAAAACCTGTCCCAGCAAGACAAGTTAGAGCTGCTGCTTTAAAAGCTGCTGAAAAGATGTCAATTCCTCCTAAAGTTGGCTCAAAATTTACTGAAAAGCATGTCCCTGCTAAAGATGAAAGTGAAGATGAAGAATCAACTGAAGAAAGTGAAGAAGAAGAAGAAGATGATGATGATAATGAGAATTCAGAAGAAGAAGGTACTGAAGATGAGGAAGAGTCAGCAAAACCATCAGATTCTTCAGATGAAAATGTTGATTATTTCGAAAAGAAGAAACAAGAAGCTAAAGCTAAAGCTGAAAAAGAAGCTACATCTACATCTGCTACTCCAGCTAATGTATCTACTACAACTAAAAGTGCTGATAATACTGATTCAAAAATTCAACCAAAACCATCACAAGAAACTAAAGCAAAAGAAACTTCTGCTCCAACTAAACCAGTTGAAACTAAAAAATCAGAATCAGTTAATGGTACCAAGAAAGAAGGATCTAAACCAGCAGAAGCTGACAAGACCAAAGATGATGACGATGAAGATGATGATATTGAAATGGTTGATGCTTCAGAAGTTCCTTTGAAAGATACTCCTGTTAAAGAAGCTCCTGTTAAACCAGCTCCAGCTAAGGAAACTCCTATTGAAGAAGGTTGGGTTAAGACATCACCAGCTAAAGCAGCAGCAATTAAAGAAACAACTGCCGATTCTGATTCTAAGTTAGGATCATTGAGTCAATCATTGAAAGAAATTGATGCTCAATCAACACAGTTGAAGGATCTTCCTCAACTCCCAGCTGAAGTTAAAGTTCCAGAATCACAATTGCCAGCTCGTGCACATAAACAACCAGCCCCACCAGTTACAATTTATTACGCAAGACCAGGTAAACCTAGAGTAGATATTGATACCTTACCTCAAGAATATCCAACTGAAGAAGTTCCAGGATTGGATAAAATTATAGATAAGCTAAAAGATCCAAGAACTCCTGATAATGAATTTAATGAATGTTTGAAAGAAAGAAGAAGGTTACTATATAATGCTAGAAGACGTTTCTTAAGAAAGCAGAAGAATGAAGAAGCAAAAGGTTTAACAGCTGATACAACTGCAAACACAAGTATATCATCTCAACCGGCTTCATCTCAAATTCCTCCATCTTCTCAAACACCACCAGCATCTCAACCAAAACCATCACAACCAGCCAGTAAATCAAAGGCTTCATCAACTTCACAAGTACCAACACCTTCACAATCAACCAAGAAGCCACAAGCACCAGCAGCTTCACAAACTCCAAAATCTTCACAAGCACCAGTTTCACAAACTCCAAAATCATCACAAGCGCCAGCTTCTACTCCATCTAAGAAACAAGCATCAAAAGAAACACCTTCAGATGTTTCATCTAATAAGAGAAACGCAAACTCAAATATCAGTTTATCACAAGATTCTATTGATTTCGATACATCTAGATTTCAAGATGATGAAGCTTCAGAAAGAACCAGAAAGGAATATGAAAAAGCTAAAGAAGAAATTGCACAACAAAGAAGAGAAGCTCAAGAGAATGCTAGAAAAGCAGATCAAGAAGCTAGATCTAAAAGAGCTAAATACTATTCTGCTAAGGAAACACCAAAATCCCAAGAGGTGATCAATGATAGCTCTGATTCAGGCTCTGATAGTGGATCAGGCTCTGACTCTGACTCTGATTCAGGATCTGATGATGATGAAGATGAAAATGATAAAACTAAAAAGATTCCAAGAATTGTTAATACACCAAAAGGTCCAATCCAATCCACTAATTTGAGAAAATCAATTGCTGCTAATAAAAAGCTTCCTGATGTTCAAGAAACAGCTTCTGCTCCAGTTACCCCAATTTCCAAAAAAGTTGAAAAAACACCTTCAAAGCAACCACAAGGTAATGATGCTGACTCAAAGGCTAAACAACCTGTTAAAAAGCCAAACAGTCGTTATTCATTAAGTTCATTGTCAGATTTAGTTTCACGTGGTGTTCCAGATGTCATTGATTCATTAACTCCAAGAAGTTCCAGAACCAAAGAAACACCAAAGTCTAGTCAAAAGAAACAAGAAGTCAGTGACTCATCTGAATCAAGTGATGACGACGACGATGATGATGAGGACAACTCAGACACAGATGATAGTAGTGACAGTGATGAAAGCTCTAGTGATGAAGAGTTAAAAGGGAGTCAAAAATATCTTAATAAAAAGGCTGCAAAAAATTTGATTAATCAAAATAAACGTAAAACCAAAACCAATAAGGCTTTCAGAGGTTTAATGAAAGACGCTAAAAAGAAATGATTTAGGTTCATTGATTTGTTTTTGTTTTTGTTGTATATTAGTGAAGTTGAACTTATCTGTATAATTTAATTAGTTGAAAATATGATGTATAAATAGTTATAGAAGTAACAAAAGATGTGTACTTTTTATCTCGGTTTTCGACTCTTGATTGATTACAATTCTTACGGTATTCACATATTTCTATTGAAAACACTATTCATTACCTCTTAAAAGTATACATAAAAATCAAAGTATAAAAAATCATAAGCTTAAAAACATAGCACATACTAACTCAAAATCAAGCACGTTGTTGTTGACCTTCCACAAAACCCAAAGCATCACTTCTATTAATCTCACTAACAGTACTGATTTTATTATTAAACATAACACCAAAGAATTTACTAGCAACTTGTAACATTTCAGGTCTAAAAGTTGTACAAATAAATTGAGCATTTTGACTTAATTCATGAATCATATTAGCAACAGCTGTTCTATATTGAGTATCCAAATTTGCATCAATTTCATCGAAAAGATAAAATGGTGCTGGATCTGATTTTTGAATAGCTAAAATTAAAGCAATAGCACAAAGTGATTTTTGACCACCTGATAATTGTTCAATACGTTGTTGTTCGTCTTCTTTTGAATTAAATGACACTTGAATTGAAATACCACTGTAGTTATCTATTATTGAATCACCATTTTCTTCATCTTCATCAATTTCAACATCACCATCTTCATCAACAGCTTGTGAAGAAGGAGCATTCTTATCTCTTTGTTGCATAATTAATTTACCAATACCTCTTGGAACTAATTTTTCAAAAACTTCAGTAAATGATGCTGAAACTTGTTGGAAAGTTCTTTGAATTGCTTCATCTTTTCTTGTTTCCAAAACATTAATAAGATCATCAATTGATGATTCAGATTTTGTTAATTCTTTACGACGATCAACTAAACCATCTCGTTGTTTTGTGAAACTTAAATATTGTTCAAGTGCTTTTTTATTAACATGACTGAATTTTTCAAGATTTTTAGTAACTTTATTCAATTTTTGTAATAATTGTCCAGAACTCAAATTCTCAAACTCTTGGAAAGCTTCTTCTGGTAATGCACCTAGTTCTCTAATTTTACGTTGTGTTTCTTCTCTTCTACTTGAAAGTAATGATTTTTTGGATAAGTATTTTTCTGAACTTTTTTGGAAATTTTCAACATTTCTAATTAATTTACGTTGTTGATCATTGGCCTTGTCTAAAGCTTCTTCTTTCTTTTTCAAATGAGTTTCTGTATCTTTAATATGGCGTTCCACTTTCTTCAATTCCTCATAAACAGAAGCTTTATGCTCTTCAAGATTCTCAAGATCTTGTGATAGATTTTGAAGATCATTATCTAAACTTCCTTGGTTTGTTTTTTCTTGTTCTTTAACCAGTTCATTATAACGTGGGACTAATTCTTCTTCAAGTTCAACAATCAAATTATTCAATTCGGTATCATGTGTTAATAATTCATCAGCAACTTTATTATATCTAATTTCCAGTTCAGAAATTTGTTTAGAAAGATTTGAAATTTCAATTTTTTCTTGTGATGATAAACCTTCTTCAAAATTAGAATTCAATTCATTTTGAAGTTGTTCAATTTTGGTAGTTAAATTAGTTTTAGAGTTTTCCAATTGAACCAATTGATCTTTTAATAATTTAATTTCATCATTAGCTTTAAATTTTTCATTTAATAAATTTGATAATTTTGATTTTAAAGGTTGTTTTGAAGAATGAAGATTTTCAAGTTCATTAGAAACTTTCTTCATATTATCATTAATTTTCAAAATTAATTGATCTTTACGTGTTATTTCAGTTTTCACTTGGAAAAGTCCCTTTTCTTCATCTCTCAATTCTTTAAATTTATCTTGTTTAATCTTCATTGATTCTAATCTTGATTTTTTAAAATCATGATAACCACCAGTTAAAACACCCTTTTTATCAGCTTTATCACCATCTAAAGTAATAGCATTTAATTTATATTGTCTCGATAATTCATAACCTCTTTCTAAATTTATAGCAACAATACTTTTACCGAAAGTTTGTTTAACGGCATTTTCAATTTCAGGATCAAATCCAATTTTTTTAATTAATGGAACACAATCATTTGAATCTGGATATGTAACATCTTGAGGTCTAACTCTATTTAAGGGAACAAATGTTATACGACCAGCTCTTTCTCTAACTAATTCATCCATAAGAGTACTTGCTGTTTCATCATTATCAACAACAACATGGAACAATGAATTACCAGCAACAACTTCCACTGCAGTTCTATATTTATCATTAACTTCAATTAATTCACCTAATGGACCATAAACACCAGTAAGACCTAATCTTGAAGTAATACGTTTAACAGCTTCTAAACCTTGACTTTGTTGTCTATCCATAGTTTGACTAACTTGTCTTGTAGCTTTACGTAATTCATCTTCCAAAGATTCTAAAATAGCTTTAAAACGAGCTTCATCTTTCCATAAAGTTTTTCTAGAATCATTTTCCATACTTAATTGTCTTCTCAATTCCATTAATTGATTTTCAATTTTATTTGTTTCTTCTTGGGCTGAATCACCATTTATAGAATCTTGTAATTGTGTAATTGATGCTTCTAAATTTTGGATCTTGTTTGATAATTCTGTTAAACGTTGAGTACCACTATTAATTTGATTAATTGAACCTTGTTTTCTCCCAGATAAGTCTTGAATTTGATTATTTAACCAATGATTTCGTTCTTCAACAGAATTAAATTTTGAAAAACGATTTTGTTTAGAATATAATAAATTTTGTTTTGTTTTCAAATTAGATAATTGAGTATCTAGTTGAGCTTCTTGATTTTTTAACTTGGAAACATATGGTTGTTTTTCAGAAACTTTTGATTCATGAGATTTTATTTTTTCTTTTGCAATTTTAATTTGTTTTTCAATATTAGTTTGAGTTTTATTATATTTATTTAAATTATTTCTAATTTCCACTAAATTAGCATTAATATCATAAATTTTTTTGGAAACTTCTTCAAAATTTTCAGAATGTTCATTACGATCAATATTTAATAATTTTAAACTTTGTTTAGCAGAATCAATATCTGATTCAATTTCAGAAATTAAAGTTTCTCTTTTTTCAAGTTCTAAAACAAAATTTTGTGATTCATCAACCCCATTTTGGTATTCTGATTCAATTTGTTCAATTGAATTAGATATTTCATTCAATTCTCTATCATAAAGTACAAATTCATAAATTTTCTTATCTTTTTCTAAATTTTGAAAATTTTTCAATTCTTCCTTTTCAGAATCTAAATCAGATAATCTTTCTTCAATAAATTCAAGCATTTCATCAATTTTATCTCTTTGATTTTTAGTTTTAGACATTTCTTTAGTACTTTCTTTTAATTTGTTTTCAAAAACTTTAGCACCTGCAACTTCTTTTAATAAATTTAATCTTTCAACATCTTTTGCATTAGTTAAAGACGTTATACGACCTTGTGGGACAATATAATAAGGATTTGATTTGGAGAACCCAGCACTTTCCAACAATTGCATGATATCTTGTCTTGTTGAAGATTTATAATCTAAAGAATAATCATCTTTTTTCAACCCAATTGTTCTTCTAATAACAACTTCATCTTTCCCCGTAGGGAATCTTCCTTCAGAATTATCAAAAACAATTTCAACATAAGCAGAAAGCACTGTACCGGAACCTTCATGAATCAAACCTTGTCTTTCCTCTTTGGACATTCTAGTATATTGATCACTTAATACAAATCTAATAGCGGCAAAGAAATTTGATTTACCAGAACCATTACGACCAACAACAACATTATGACTTGGTGAGAGGTTATCAATGACTGTGGTGTTCTTGAACGTCTTGAAACCTTGGATCACGATCTTTTTGATATGCATTGTGTACCCTTTTTGATTGTAATAGACCTCTACTTCTCCAGAGTCCATACAACTCTAGAGTCTATACCACTATTATTAATTAAAAAAACGCGTAAAACGCGTCTCTCAATCAACTTGGTGACACGCTGATCAATGACATGAACCCGCGAACTTTGTAATCCTCGCGAATTCCCAACGTTTCCACGAATTTTCAATTTCCCATTAAAAATTCAAAATTCAAAATTCCCAAAATTCAAAATCCCAACAAGTGAATTTTTTAGTCAACAGAGTGTCCCGAACCACCCTTCATTTTTTATGGCGTATCAACAAACAAGAAACAAGCGCTGTGGTCAAAAAAAATATTTATATACTGATAATTCCAATATCTTTATACCTACTCAATTGAATTTGGTTATACACTATACTCAAATTACAGGATACATATCACACCAATGCGTCCTGAAATTGAACAAGAATTGGCTCACGTCTTATTGACTGAGTTATTGGCTTATCAATTTGCTAGTCCTGTCAGATGGATTGAAACTCAAGATGTCTTTTTAAAAGATTACAACACTGAAAGAGTTGTTGAAATTGGTCCTTCACCAACTTTAGCTGGTATGGCTACTAGAACAATTAAGGCTAAATATGAATCTTATGATGCTGCTTTATCTTTACAAAGACAAGTTTTATGTTATGCTAAAGATGCTAAAGAAATTTATTATACTCCAGATCCTGCTGATTTAGAAGCCGCTGCCGCTGCTGCTTCTGGTTCTGGTTCTGCTGCTACTGAATCTGCTTCAGCTCAATCATCTGCTCCAGCTGCCTCTGCTACTCCTGCCTCTGCTGCTGCTGCTCCTTCAGCTCCAGCTCCAGCTCCATCTGGTCCAGTTGCTGAAATCCCAGATGAACCAGTTAAAGCTTTATTATTGATTCATGTTCTTGTTGCTCAAAAATTGAAAAAATCTTTAGATCAAGTTCCTGTTTCAAAAGCTATTAAAGATTTAGTTAATGGTAAATCAACTGTTCAAAATGAAATCTTGGGTGATTTAGGTAAAGAATTTGGTTCAACTCCTGAAAAACCTGAAGAAACTCCAATTGAAGAATTAGCTGAAACTTTCCAAGAAACTTTCTCTGGTGCTTTAGGTAAACAATCTTCTTCTTTAATTGCTAGATTAATGTCATCTAAAATGCCTGGTGGGTTCTCTGTTGGTACTGCTAGAAAATATTTACAAACTCGTTGGGGTTTAGGTTCTGGTAGACAAGATTCTGTTTTATTATTATCTTTAACTTCAGAACCTCCAGCTCGTTTAGGTAATGAAAATGATGCTAAAGCTTACTTGGATGGTATTGCTCAAAAATACGCTGCTTCTGCAAACATTTCATTAGCTTCTGCTGCTTCTTCAGGTGGTTCTTCAGGTGGTGCTGGTGGTGCTACTATTGATGCCGCTGCTTTTGAAGAATTAACTAAAGATAATAAAATCTTGGCTCGTCAACAATTACAAGTTCTTGCTCGTTATTTAAAATTAGATTTAAATAAAGGTAATAAATTGGTTGATGAACAAAAAGATCAATTGAAAGATTTACAAGATCAATTAGATCATTTAACTAATGAATTAGGTGATTATTTCATTGAAGGTATTACTTCTTCATTCTCAAGAAAGAAGGCTAGAACTTATGATTCTTCATGGAATTGGTCAAGACAATCTTTATTAACTTTATATTTTGAAATTATTCATGGTACTTTAAAAAGAGTTGATAGAGAATTAGTTTCAGAAGCTATTAATATTATGAATCGTTCAAATGATACTTTAATCAAATTCATGGAATATCATATTAATCAAGCTGATGCTTCAAAAGGTGAAAACTATATCTTGGCTAAAGAACTAGGTAATCAATTGATTGAAAATTGTAAACAAGTTTTAGATTTAGATCCAGTTTATAAAGATATTTCTTATCCATTAGGTCCAAAAACTAATGTTGATCATAAAGGTAACATTAAATATTCAGAAGAACCAAGAGAAAATGTTCGTAAATTCCAACAATATGTTCATGAAATGTCTCAAGGTTCAGAAGTTACTAGACAACCTCAACAAACTATTGAACAAGATTTAACTAAAGTTTATAATGCTATTTCAAAACAAGCTGAATTATCTTCAGGTACTAAAGTTGAATTTGAAAAATTATATGGTGATTTAATTAAATTTTTACAAACTTCAAATGAAATTGAAATTAAACAAAACACAACAGTTGCAGGTTTCAATGATGATAATTTAGATTCTGATTCAACTAAAGAAGTTGCTTCATTACCAACTACTTCTTCAATTAAAAACCCAGTTTCAAAAGTTATCCCACCTGAAACTATTCCATTCTTACATTTAAAGAAAAGATTACCTGATGATTCATGGGCTTATGATCGTCAATTAACTTCAGTTTTCTTGGATGGTTTAGAACAAGCTGCTGTTAATGGTGTTACTTTTAAAGGTAAACATGTTTTAATTACAGGTGCCGGTGCTGGTTCAATCGGTGCTGAAGTTTTAAAAGGTTTAATTCAAGGTGGTGCCAATGTTATTTTAACAACTTCAAGATTTAGTAAAAAAGTTACTGAATATTATCAACAAATTTATGCCAAATATGGTGCAAGAGGTTCTTCATTAGTTGTTGTTCCATTCAACCAAGGTTCAAAACAAGATGTTGAAGCTTTAGTTGATTACATTTATGATGATGTTAAAAAAGGTGGTTTAGGTTGGGATTTAGATGCTATTGTTCCATTTGCTGCTATTCCAGAAAATGGTAATGAAATTAATAACATTGATTCTAAATCTGAATTTGCTCATCGTATTATGTTGACTAATTTATTAAGAATTTTAGGTTCTGTTAAAAACCATAAATCTGATAGAGGTATTGAAACTAGACCTGCTCAAGTTATTTTACCAATGTCTCCAAATCATGGTACTTTTGGTGCTGATGGTTTATACTCTGAATCTAAATTATCATTAGAAACTTTATTCAACAGATGGTATTCTGAAAGTTGGGCTAATCAATTAACCATTTGTGGTGCTGTTATTGGTTGGACTAGAGGTACTGGTTTAATGAGTGCTAACAACATTATTTCTGAAGGTATTGAAAAGTTAGGTGTTAGAACCTTCTCTCAATCAGAAATGGGTTTCAACTTGTTAGGTTTATTAACTCCAGAAATTACTGATTTATGTCAAAAAGGTCCTGTTTTAGCTGATTTGAATGGTGGTTTACAATTCATCAGTTCATTAAAAGAACGTACCAATAAATTAAGATCAGAAATTATGGAAACTTCTGATATTAGAAGAGCTGTTTCAATTGAAACTGCATTAGAACATAAAATTGTTAATGGTTCAAATGCTGATGCTCCATTCGCTAAAACTGAAATTAATCCAAGAGCTAATATGAAATTTGATTTCCCAACTTTAAAATCTTATGATGAAATTAAAAAAGCTGCTCCTCAATTAGAAGGTTTATTAAACTTGGAAAAAGTTATTGTTGTTACAGGTTTCTCTGAAGTCTCTCCATGGGGTTCTGCTAGAACCAGATGGGAAATGGAAGCTTATGGTGAATTTTCTTTAGAAGGTTGTATTGAAATTGCTTGGATTATGGGTTTAATTAAATACCATAATGGTAACTTGAAAGGTAGACCATACAGTGGTTGGGTTGATGCTAAAACTAATGAACCAGTTGATGACAAAGATGTTAAACCTAAATATGAAGAACATATCTTAGATCACTGTGGTATTAGATTAATTGAACCTGAATTATTCAATGGTTATAATCCAAACAAGAAAGAATTAGTTCAAGAAGTTGTTATTGAAGAAGATTTAGCTGAATTTGAAGCTTCAAAAGAAACTGCTGAACATTTCAAACATCAACATGGTGATAAAGTTAGTATTCAAGAAAATCCAGAATCTGGTGAATATACTGTTCAAATTTTGAAAGGTGCTTCATTATTAATTCCAAAAGCTTTGAAATTTGATCGTTTAGTTGCTGGTCAAATTCCAACTGGTTGGGATGCTAGACGTTATGGTATTTCAGAAGATACTATTCAACAAGTTGATCCAATTACTTTATACGTTTTGGTTGCCACTGTTGAAGCTTTCATTTCTGCTGGTATCAGTGATCCATATGAATTATACAAATACATTCATGTTTCTGAATTAGGTAACTGTTCAGGTTCTGGTATGGGTGGTGTTTCTGCCTTACGTGGTATGTTCAAAGATCGTTATAAAGATGAACCAGTTCAAAATGATGTCTTACAAGAATCATTTATCAACACTATGTCCGCTTGGGTTAACATGTTGTTAATTTCCTCATCAGGTCCTATTAAGACTCCAGTCGGTGCTTGTGCTACTGCTGTTGAATCTTTAGATATTGGTGTTGAAACCATCATTTCAGGTAAAGCTAAGGTTTGTATTGTTGGTGGTTATGATGATTTCCAAGAAGAAGGTTCATATGAATTCGCTAACATGAACGCTACTTCAAATACATTAGATGAATTTGAACATGGTCGTACTCCAAGTGAAATGTCAAGACCAGCCACTACTACCAGAAATGGTTTCATGGAAGCTCAAGGTTCAGGTATTCAAGTTATTATGAATGCTGATTTAGCTATTAAGATGGGTGTTCCAATTTATGGTGTCTTAGGTTTAACTGCTACTGCTTCAGATAGTATCGGTAGATCAGTTCCAGCTCCAGGTAAAGGTATTTTGACCACTGCTAGAGAACATCATGGTGATTTGAAACACAAATCTACATTAATGGATATTTCTTACAGAAAACGTCAAGTTGAAAGAAGAATCAGAGAAGTTAAACAATGGGTTGATTCTGAATACGAATTCTTGGGTGAAGATGCTAAACAATACCCAGAAGAAGAACAATCAACTTACATTACTGAAAGAGTTGCTGAAATTCAAAGTGAAGCTCAAAGTCAAATCAATCAAGCTAAAGATTACTATGGTAACTTCTTTTATCAAAATAATCCAAGAATTGCTCCAATCCGTGGTGCTTTGGCTACTTTTGGTTTAACCATTGATGATATTGATGTCTGTTCAATGCATGGTACTTCTACTAAAGCTAATGATAAGAATGAATCTAATACATTAGATTTAATGTTTAGACATTTGGGTAGAAGTGAAGGTAACCCAGCTTTAACTGTTGTCCAAAAATACTTAACTGGTCATCCAAAAGGTGCTGCTGGTGCTTGGATGTTCAATGGTGCTTTACAAATCTTAAACTCTGGTATTGTTCCAGGTAACCGTAATGCTGATAACATTGATGCTGTCTTAGAACAATTTGATTACTTATTGTTCCCATCTAGATCAATCAAAACTGATGGTGTTAAAGCTGTCTCTATTACATCTTTCGGTTTCGGTCAAAAAGGTGCACAAGCTATTGCTATTAACAGTGACTACTTATTTGGTGTTTTATCAAGAGAACAATATGAAACTTATGCTGCCAAATTCGCTGAAAGACACAACAAAGCTTACTCTCATCATCATGAAGCTTTCATCAACAACTCATTATTCAGAGTTAAAGATAAAGCACCATATTCAGATGAATTACAAAACCCAGTTTACTTAGATCCATTAGCTAGAGTTGGTGCTGCTAAATCAGGTAAATTAGAATTTGCTCAAAAAGGTGTTCAAGGTAAAGGTGGTTACATCACTGCTTCATCAAAAGATACCTCAAAAATCTTGAGTGATTTAGCTTCTAATGCTGCTGGTAAAAAGAATGTTGGTGTTGATGTTGAATTAATTTCTTCAATTAACATTGAAAATGAAACCTTCATTGAACGTAACTTCACTGAAGCTGAAATCAAATACTGTCAAAGTGCACCATCTCCACAATCATCATTTGCTGGTACTTGGTCAGCTAAAGAAGCTGTTTTCAAAGCTTTAGGTGTTGAATCTAAAGGCGCTGGTGCTCAATTGAAAGATATTGAAATTTTACGTGATTCAAATGGTGCTCCAAAAGTCCAATTCCATGGTGATGCTTTAAAAGTTGCCAAAGGTGAAGTTAAAGTTAGTATCAGTCATGATGACTTCCAAAGTGTTGCTGTTGCAATCTTGAACTAGATTGATTCTAGTTGGATTTTTTAGATCCATTTCTCTTAGTTAATTTATACTTAATATTATAATTTGTTTATCGTTTAATCATTCAGTGTAGTTTATACAAACTTGAGTATTATAATACAAACATACATTAAAAGGTCTTTAAAACATACTATATCAGCTAGATACAAGTAAAGACTTATTGGGCAAACAGATTAGCTTCTAACTGTTGAGCGTGTTGAGCAAACTGTTGTTGATAATTAATATTAGCATCTGCTGAGCTCACAGCTTGTTGAGGTTGTTGTGTGGCTTGTGACTGTTGTTGGAGTTGATGAATTTGTTGTTCATTTAGTTGTGGTTGTTGATTTGATGTAACATTGGATTGATTATTCTTAGTCGAACTTCTCTTTCTTGATCTGCAATTCAAACAAACCTTATGATTCTCATCCTTTGAAGTTAAAGCATTGGCACAACGGTTACAACAACCACGCTCTTCAAGAGTTTTTCTTCTCAATTTATCATTAGTTCTGCATCTTGTACAAACTTTAAATTCAGTTGAATCATTTATACCTGAACAATGAACACATTTACCATTTTCATATCTACTGGCTTTTCTAGTTCTCAAATTCAGACGACATGGAGGACATAGAACATATTCTGACTGATCTGGGGGGATTTCAATACCACATCTTTTACAAGCACCATCTTTTTGTTTTATTCTTTGTTGCCATCTTCTTGATCTTTGTCTTTGTAAATCACGACAGTGTGGACATAATTTATATGATTTCCCATCTAGCTCAACAGCAAATTCTTTTTTACATCTTGTACATTGGTTTGATCCGTTTGATGTTGGTGTGAATTGCTGTTGTTCTGGTTGTTGTTCACGGTGAACTCTTGGACCAACAATATCTTGAACAATACCCACAGCAACATTAAGCTCTGGGTCAACAGCAAATGGTCTTTGTGTTGATTTTCTAGGAAGAACTTTGTTATCCTTAGTCTTCAGCCCTTCATTCAGTTGTTGTTGAATCACTTGAAACTGTTGTTGTTGATGTTGTTGTTGTTGTTGTTGTTCATCAGTTACATCAACATTATGACTATGAACTTGAGGATCAATATGGATGGCGGTAACATCTTGATGAGCTTGTTGTTGTTGAGCTAATCTTTGAAGCGCACGGCGTTGTTCTTCGGTAACCAACTCATTATGAATATTTTCTTGAGTTGATACATCTTGATCTTGTTGGTGTGATGATTCTTGTTTTGATTCTGTGTTTTGCTTATTTTCTTCATTCGGAGTATTATTATTATTTTGAGAAGTCTCTTGTTCTTTTATAGCAGCAGTGATTACAGCAGCAGATTGGGAATCCATCTTGTAACTCTTAACAACTTCTTTTATACGCCTAATTGTTTACCTATCAAACGTATGTAAGCTAACGGTTTTTCTATAATCAAGCGAACTTAACCAGGTTATGAATTATGGTGGGTTTCAAATTTTCACAAATTTCTCGCGAATTTCTCTCCCCCAATAATCTACAAATTTTCGTCATGGGCAACACCAGTATAGCTGATAATTTCTACAAATTCATACTAAATAAAATTGGGATATCTATAGTAAAGCTCTATAAAGCTGAAACTTTGTTGGTTCAATAACCATTCATATAATTTTATTTTTGATCTTGCTAGCCACTGCTTTAGCATTGTGCGGTAACCTTAGCACTTGAGATTTTATCTTCTTTGGAATGCCTTTGACAATATCTTCTTCTATGGTACCTTCATTGTTATATCTACCTGGTCTACTTGGTGGTGCATTTTTTGAAATCCTTTGATCAAAAATCTCAGACTCATCTCCTGAACTTCCATCATCAGAAACGCCATCTTCATGGGATGTACTTGAACTAACAACTTTGACGTTCTTTTCATTTTGTTCTAAATATTCTTTGAACGATCTAAAAGGCTTGTGGTGTGAAAGTCTGTTTCCAGTGAATGTATATGGACTATGCTGCTCTTGTTTGGTGTTGAAATTTTTAAGTGTATTTATTGGGGTATCAGTTAAACCTTTCAAAAATTTGGAATCTATACTCTTTTGTCTTTGTTTAATCAGTGCTTCAGATTTTTCTCTTAATTCAACATCTGCAAATTTGGCAACATCTTCTTCAACTTCCGGATTTTCCTTTTCTAAATACGTAATATCAACATTATCTGTAGATATATTATCCCCTTCGCTGTTGGAGTTTGCTTCAAAGTCATTTGATGTGGGATCTTGCTCATTGCTTTCATATGACTTTTTGTCATTGACGTGATTTGATTGATGATCTTGATTTTGGTAATCTTGATATAAGCCTGATGTATCAGGATATTCATAACCTTCCTCTTCAAATTTGTTTTCTTCCTCCTCGAATTCTTCACTATCATAAGCGCCTTCTTCTTCTTCTTCTTCTTCTTCTTCTTCAAACTCATCATCATTTTCACTAAGATCATCATTTTCTTCTTCTTCGTCATCATCATTATCATCATCATTGTCGTTGTAGTAATTACCGTCACCTTCTCCATAATCACCGTATTCTTCTTCTTCTATTGGTTGAGTCTCATGTTGATTATATCTCTCCTTTTCCTCCCCGGATTGCGATTCATATTCACTTTTTCCATCATTATAATTCGACTCTATATCATAATCAGCGTATAACGAACCATGATTTGGACGTATTTTCTCAAAATTTGAAGGTCCTTTTTCAATATCCAGAGATTTCTCACTTAAATCTTCATCAGCTTTAGAGCCCAGATAATCCTCGGTATTATATTTATTATTTTGTTGTAACTTTTCTTCTTCTGGTTCACGTTGTTTGTAATCTTCTGATGGATAATTAACTTCACTATAAATATTCTCTTCTCCATAATTCGAGGTACGTTGGATGTAATTTGAGTCTTGAAGTCCTGGTGAGTTGCGGTAAATCAATTCATAATAATCACCTGGGCCATAATCTTTGTATTGTTCATTAATGTTTATTTGTGGTAATGGGCCGATCTCGAGGTTCTTTGACTTGGGCCATGAAGGTAGCAGAATTAGAATCAGCAGTTCTTGGTTCAAAAGGATTTCCAGGGGTTAAGTGCCAGTCCTTGTCTTCCTTGTCGTCCTTTTCTTCCTTTTCATCTTCTTCAATAGGATAATATTTTTTGTCTTCGTCATCTTGGTCCCCATCTTTCACATTTTCGTCATCATCATCATCATCACCTTCTTCGTCGTCGTAGTCATCATAATAATAATCATCATCTTCTTCGTCGTCATATGTTTCTTCATCGTCTTCTTCTTCTTCTTCATCATCATAATATTCTTCATCCTCTTCTGTTTCGTTTTCTTCACTTTCATCGTCGTAAGATGGAATATCATCAATGGCTGGTTTCTTTGGTTTATTATAGTCAGCATTGGATCTAGCATCATGAGTTGATTCACCACTTGAAATTTCATTATCCGAATCAGCACTTAATCTTTCTAAACAAGTACCCCAAAAATGATCTCTTGCACTAAAGAAATTACCATATGGACAAATATCAACTAAACAACCAACTAAAGAAGGACTATTCTCACAAACACACCGGAAATCAGCATGGGCTCTTTCACACCACCGTGCTATAACTTGAACACAGGAAAGAAAACAAGCTGGAGGAGTTGCACCAACAAACAACAAGATTGCAAAAATTGGTAAAATTGATTTGATTAACATCTCTGAAGTTTTGAATATTATGCTTCTTGTTTGGATTTAATGATATGAATGTTGAGTTGAGTTGCAATCTTATAAATAAAATTTTCATCTGTTCTTTTGCTTCAAATGCCCATTTTACAACTATATTATTACTTTCCATGGTTTTTGTGTACATTATTATTTTTGTCTATGACACAAAAGCGTCAATACAGCGGCTAATCAAGGAGCTGGTCAATAGCAATAAACATTCTGTCTCAACATCAGTACGTCTCCTCTTTGAACTGCTTGATTGAGCTACTATTTGAATGAAACATTAAGTCTGCAATATTCTAATCGATTTATGCGTTGGTAATCCTAATCATATATATAGCTCCATGATATAATCGACAATTTAGTACCCAGTGCCCACGCTATTAGATTTTCGCGGTCAAAAATAAAAAAGCGCTTGAAACTTAAAACACTCGTACAAACAACAAAATTTTAGTTTGAATCTTATAAAAGAACATTGAATGAGCTCTTTAATTTATTTAGGTGATTACCAGAGCTTTGTAATATCTTTCCTCTTTCTCATTAGCTCTGTTTGGACTTGCACAGGGTCAAAAAAGAGTCAAAAACCCGGATATGAGTAAAAAAAAATTAAGTGCTCCACGGCAGGTTCGAACTGTCGACCTTCAGATTATGAGACTGACGCTCTACCGACTGAGCTAGTGGAGCCACTTTTTGAAGTTGAAAAATTGCTTGTAGTTTATAATATCATTCATGGTAGGCGCACTATATAAGTATTGCTGCTCCTACCAGTTCCTGCTGATTCATAAACACACTTGACGTTAATCGATATAGATTTAGAATCAAATAGAGCTGATGTTCGTTAATGAATCAGTAAGAGCTTGATTATAAGAGATCCTAATTAATAGTACAAATAAATAGATTATGTGATCAAGAAGACGTCTAATATTTGATTCAAAGCTCCCATTTTGGTCCGTGATATCTCAATATAATTTTAAACTTGATTCTTGACATTGAATAAGAATTCTTATGAGCTAGTTTGGATTGATGGCGGCTAATTATTAGGAAAAAAAAAAAAACAGGACATATATATAAACCAAAGATTTTAGGAATCCATATCTTTCAACTCATTTCTCAGATGATTCCATGATTGATTGGTAAAGACTACACTCTTTGTTCAATATGACTGTGATTTCATGCTTGTTCGTACTCATCATACAAATTATCATTGTGATCAATTGTGCCGGTCCAGAAATTCCATTAAACTTATATCGTATTGAACCAGATTTTAAATTTAGATCCATTGGAATCAAAAAGGAGTTGGAACATAGTAAAGTGCTTTATGATTATTTATATCATTGGAAACCGCCAGGTGAATTAAATATTGAGTTTAATGAACAACATTCAGAAGTTGTTACTTATGGAAATTATATATCACCCTTAGACACTTTAGAGCCACCAACAGAAATTGAATATTTATCATTCTTCCCATTATCCAAGAATTTTGTCAATGAACTATATACATTGGTTTTAGATGGTATTGATAAAGAAGGTTATGAAACAAGTCATGCAATTTGGGTAAACATTCCATTTGATAAAGATGATTTTGAATCAGTTCAATTGGAAAGTGGTAAAAGTACATTCAGATTTAAAGTTAATTTAAAACATGCAGGTGACTTATTAAGATTTGTTGGTCCAAGACCATTAAAAGATACAGGTGTTCATCAATATGTTTTCATCTTATTTAGACAACCTCATGGTTGGTTTCCAAAACACAAATTAAGACAAAGAGAAAATTGGGGTACAGATCATAAAGATCATTATGGTGTATCTTCGTGGGCAAATTATTACGATCTTCAACCTTTAGGTGTTAATTTTTTTACATCTTCAAATGAAGGTTTGTTTTAATGAAATTTCCAAAAATTATGTTTTACATCAATACCAGCCTTCTCTTATCCCAAAAAATAAAACGTCACATTTATATTAATTAAATACATTACATTTCTCAAAAATCCCTACAAATTTGGGAACCAACAACATAACCTATTGAGGTCCTGGTCCATCAGTTTCATTTTTAGCAGCTAATTCTTTATCATAATTCAATACTTTCTCTTTATTATTTGTAGCGGCTCTTACAACTTGATGAAATAAACTAGCGTTTAGCTCAGATCTTTCCTCTGATTTAGCACTTGATCCAGAAGTTGCAGTAGAACTTGATTTGATAGAATTAACTAAACTTGATAAATCAAATGGACTTGATCCATCGCTTTCTCTTTTACACCATTCCAAGTCGGAATCTTCATCGGCTTCACCTTCACTGAAATCTTCTAATTCTCTTAATTTTTTAATTCTATTATTCAACTTGACAATTTCAACAGCTTGTCTGAATTTCTTTTTAGCATTGAATTTTCTAATTTGTGGAGCTAAATCTTCCTTATCATAAGATTCTGAATTGGTTGTTATCCAAGGATCTGATAACAATTCTTTTGCACTTGGTCTTGAATTTGGATCAACTATTAAACAACGTTTAATAAAATTCTTTGAATATTCTGATAAAGTTTTCCAATATTGTTTATGGAAAATTACAACTGGATCATTTTGAACTTCTTGTAAAAAATCATTAACATTTTCAGATCTAAATGGTGAATACCCACCTAACAATGTGAAAGCGATAACACCAAGTGACCATATATCACAAGGTTTACCATGTCCTGTACCAGTCAATACTTCTGGTGCACAATAACCAAAACTACCAGCAGCACTAGTTAAAACTTCATTTGGAGTTAATAATTCTTTTGCAATACCAAAATCAGCAAGAACTAATTGAGATTGTGGATCATCTGAAATATAAAGTAAATTTTCTGGTTTCAAATCTCTATGCACAATATTTAATTCATCATGTAAATATTCAACGGCTTGTAAGATTTGAACAACAACATCGACACCATCTTCTTCTGTGAATTTACCTTGCTTCACAATTCTATCAAATAATTCACCACCAGTAGCTAATTGTGTAACAATATAAAATTTATCTTTACTTTCAAACCAATCTCTAAAACCAACAATATTTGGATGTTTACATTTTTGTAATAATGCTAATTCATCATAAAACACTTTTTCATTCCCCTTTAAAGCTTTTTTCAAGACAATCTTGATAGCAACTTCTTCCTTTGTTGATATTCTTCTTGCTTGTCTAACAATACCAAATGATCCTGCACCAAGGGTCTTACCAAAAATATAGTCAGCCTTTTGTGCGTAACTTGAAGGTTGGCCACTCAGTTTATTGAAGAATTTCTTGAAATTATGCCCTTCAGGCTCACTAGCAGGATGAACAAATGGCATATTGAAGTAATTGATATATCCCTGATAGATATTCTTGAAATGATAGCTTGATTAATTGATATAATATCCCTAATAAGCTCAAATGAAATTAGAGATTTATAATAAATAAAAACTTAGCAATGATTTAATTGAAACGTGATTGAGTCTAGATCTTTTATCAATTAAGTAGCGGTCTAGTTATATGAGTTGAAGCACCCTAATGAAAGCTTTTCTTGTTGATTTGATGCACTCAATTGACCATTCCAATAAAAAAATTGTTAAAATTGATGAACGTTAAACATGAAAACAGTGCATACAGCCATGATTCAAAACATTATTGACACGAGCCGTTGCTCTATTTTTCTGGCAGAATGTGCCCTTACCGCGGTATGTAAAGGATGCTTTGGCTTCTCAGAAGACTAATAAGTCACAAAATAGAGCGCCTTGGCGCAGTGGAAGCGCGCAGGGCTCATAACCCTGATGTCCCTGGATCGAAACCAGGAGGCGCTATTTTGTTTTTTGCTATTTTCGCGAAATTTTTGAGTGTGTGAACCATTTTAATACACCTTGGTTATTGTTCTTTTAATTAATTGAAACCATTTCAATTTTCTACTTAATTTAAAAGCTCTGTGCTTATTTTTAATACATCGTATCTCGAAATGTACTGCATGCTCAATCTATCGGCTGACAAGGTCTAGAGCTAGATGCTAGCTAGTATAACGCCTGATCTATTGAACAATCAATGGGTGCTGCGATATCGACACTGACAACGACGTACGCGTATATATGCAACTTAGTACTTACTATATATATGAGACTCAACACCAGCCGGTCTATAGGCATCGTCTGTCCAAGTTTACAATATACCTAGTACCAACATGTTGAGAAATTATCAGTCCATATTAACTTTGATCTGAATGTCCAAAATAATATATGATTTGATTCAATTTCTCCAAATTAGTAGTGCATGATGAAACCGAGATTGTTCTTCCGAGTTCCATGTCAGATCTGACTTACATGCGTTCTCTGATCAGCATCATCAGCTCGTATTACTCGCTTGACAAGGACACCAGCTATATATATATATGACATGGATCAATGAAAGGGATAATACACGAACCAGATCTTGTTCTAATTTGACCTTTCTATTTTCATTGGTTGTATATTGTAAGTTGAATCGTTTGTGTCGCAGGCCGTGAAATGTATAGCGTCTAACTAGTGGTGATGAGTACGTTAAGTTCTGATGACGGTTATAATGTGCGCTATATAGCGGTCTCTACTTTCTGGTTGAATGTGACAATTCTTAAACAGTGTAGTACTAGGTACTAGACATTCTTATCTCATCATCAATAAACAACAAAAAGACGGCCCAAGCCTAAAAGGGTAAACTAATTCTTTGTCGCAGAAGATCCCTTTTCTTTTACATATATGGACACATCATGGCCTATGGCCCATGAGGCTTCAATACTATATGATAGGGAGACGATATCAAACCATGATTCATCATTTAGTTTTGCATATTAACACATCGAACTTGTCTGCTAGATCTAGCACCTCCTATAATTTGCAAAAAGCAGCTGGATATTCTTTAAATTATACGTATTACGGATCCAGAGACGTACTCAAAAAAAAGTTGTATGGCCGGGCCTCTAAATTCACAACCTCTTAAATGTCAGGTACACAATTTTCGACTGATGATATTTAGCGAACCCTCTAGCTCTTGTAAAAGAAAGAAACCTCGCATGAGACATATATATACGTGTAAATGTCTTAAAGATGTTGGTCGTACAGTGTACTATATAATATAGGGTGAGATCGGTTATATATCCTATTATATGGCCCTAAAACAAACTACCTAACGAGAATTTATCTATATAGTTTATAGATCATGATATTTGGATATTTAATTTCATATATATTATTAAGACGTAACTAATCTGAAACGAACGGATATTTCAGCTAATTAACAGCTTCTATTATGAGTACTTGAAATCCTGCACATATATCCGATAAGCTATATAAAGAAGACCATATTCATGTTGATGCTGAAGCGGAAAAACTTTCTGCTTTATCCGGCATTAATTTTATACTTGAGCTCACAAAAAAACTTTTAGATCAAAACAGGAATGTTAACTATCATATATATCGGGACATTTATGAGATCTATAACTATTTAGACCTAACTTTGAAACCTATGACGTTGATATCATGAGAGATGGTATGTATTTATATATTGAAGTATATTAATCATAGCTTTCCACACAGCATTCTAAAAGCTTCCATGTATAACAATTAGAGTTCTAAATTGTAATACGATCATTAAAAGCTGGCTATAGTATATTTTGTATTACTAAACATCTATCTTTATTAACCAAAACATCAACAATTATTAATTTGTCCCAAAACATTCAGTTGAATCTAGTTTCATTTATGAATCTAAAGAACATGAATGTTTCGATCCAAAATTTATAGACTTTACGCATCAATCACTACCTAAATTATAAGATTTGATAGGTAAAACATTTTCTGGACCTAGAACGAAAACAACAAAATTATCACAGATACCTTCATAATTCATAAACTTCACTGTGGTGTTTAACTTCCAAAAACTTTGCCCATTTTGAACAATCATTATTCAAGCTTTTGGTACCACAACTTATAACCCAATTATTGGCTTTAACATACTGATCAATATAATTTGTATAATTTCTCAAATTTGGTCTACCATATTTAATTGTTTTTTGAAGTTGATCTCGACGTTGACTGCGACCAATACTATTAAAATCAGCAAATGGATCATTTCCAAAATCTTCAAGTTCAATATCAAAATCAGTATCAGTATCAATATCAACGTCATCATCATTAAGTTGCAGTAAATTGTCACCTTCTTCATTATCCGCATCAGTTTTGGATATATCTGAAGTTATGAAAATATCAATCTTCTTGACATTAAAATGATTCAAGATCCATAAATCTGCTTTATTTCTTAAAACCCAAATTAAATGGACACGGGTGAAATTATTGATTTGTAAATTTTGATAAATACCTAATGCATATGAAATCCCAGATCCACCAGCTACAAGAACGACATTTTCTGCAGTTTTGAAAAAATTTGAATGTAATGATGGGAAAGGACCAGATATCGAATAATCAAATCTTGGTTTGATTTCGAAATTTGTCTTTTTAACAATCAATTTTATAGTAGAGTCTGTTGGTGATGACGCTATAGTGAATGGATGTGTAGGTAATAAATAAGTTAATGGATTGATTTTTTGAAATTCAGAGATTCTTATATGTGAACTTGGTAAATAATCACCGAAACTATTTGGGAATTTTATAATAATTAAATCAGAACCTTTTGATGTTTCAATATCTAATTTTTCATCTTTTGATTTCCAAATTTTAGTAATAACCTGTGCAATAAATAAAATAACGATAATGAAAGAATAAAAAGTAACACCTGGTCTTGCATGAAATTGTAATAAAAATGGGGATATCCATGCCAATATCAAATGTGTTGTGAAAAATGCCTTGTAAAATCTATGCCTTATTGGTTTTAATGAAATTATAGTAATCATTAACCAACCAATAACTGCGATAACTCCCAAGAAATTTAACAATCTGAAAAACTTGAAAAATTCATGTTCAACAGCCCATTTCACTGTAAACATTATCCCATGAACCACTGATAATAAAACAATCACTCTTGATAACCATTTATGTAGGAAAACATATTCAAGATAATAAATATTTGGTAATGGATTTGGTTTAAATGCAAAGAAAATATCCAATGGTAACAATAAATAAGCAAATCGTCCTAATCTTTTAATGAAAACACTCAGTAGTGATAATTTAAATTTGTAAAAACTCAATCCAATTATGATTATATTCCATATTATCAATTTCCACCATTCAGGTGTTGAAACTAATGCTCTACTTGTTGTTGATCTACCAGACCTTGACCATTTATGCAAATAAAATTTTTGAAATGAATAAATACCAATGACATTAATTATTGTTAAAAAGAATAAGAAATGACCAATTGGTACGTTTGCAAAATGTGTACTACCATGTCTTTTGATCAAATCAACATAAGCATTCCTTTGGCCTTCCTCTATTATCATTGTAACTGTAAGGTATATGTATCTGAAAAATTCTCTATAACCAGACTAAATCACCAAAATAAACATCCTATGGAACACCAAGAGCCAATTACGAGTTCCCAATCAGCCAGTTATTGAAGCGTTCAAAGTAAATATGAACAAGTTTGAAGCTTCAAAAGTGATGATTGTTTATATTAGTTTTTTTTTTTTATTTATTTAGTGAGCATTTGGTGCCCCTACCGCTTTTCTTACAAAAGCGCATTTTAAATGAAATCTCGTTGGCTGGGAATTTCCGAATTTCCTGGGATTTCCTATTGTTTTAAAGATTTTTAATATAGACGACGTTGAAGATCTGTTCTAATATCAAAAGGTCAGCAAAAACAGGAATATGTTGTGCGAATGAAAGTTCATGAAGATGCTCACTGCTTCAATTCCCCATTATCATAGGTGAAACAGATTTTTTATTGGATCTCTGAACCAATCGCTTCATGACTTTGAAATTTTCATAAATCTTGACGTACGCACATGCCATTCAAATTAAAGGTCTTATTGAAAAAAAGTGACATGATATATACGATATCGAGTGTTTAACTTTGAATCTAAGGCTCTTTCAGGTAAGATCTAGAGCCAGATTCTAGCCAGATTTATCATATGTGATGAGCTGATTACTTCGTTTAAGCGATGAGAAACTTCAATTGTCTCAGTGAACGTACTTAAAGGACAAAATCAAAAGATACATTGACCACATTCTAGTTTCACATGATCTATGGAAGCTTCTTCTATGTGATGCTGGCTCAGAGAACTTTATTTTTAGACTTTAGATCATCAGAAATGATCAAGTATTCTTTTTAAATCAGTTGATACCAAAGTTCAGATCGCGGGTATATAATACAGGTTAGGTTCTATTTTAACAGATGAATTGAGTCATGGTGAGAATTATACATTAGTACCTACTTTTTATTACTGAAGAAATCTTGGTTTTACTATAGATCGGTGAATGAATTGCTTCATCAACCTTATATACTACATTTGTATGACACGGTTGACCACAATTGAGTTACTATCGTTCTAGAATCCAATTTAATGATTCCTTGGCTGAACTAATCATATGGTTTCTATGCAGTTTAAGTTGAATATAGAAATATTAAATAAATGGTCAATATATCACATATTTCAACATAGTCACATATTTATTAACTTGCTTGTCAACTAACCAAGTATCAATAATTTGCATAGCATGTCCCAAGGTACAAACCATATCATGATTGAATTATAAAATTGATAATACACACTATCTATATGGTAGAGACAAAAGTCACAACCAGCTATAGCTGAATAATTAAATAATATGATATTAGCAAATTTGTAATTGAACAATCAAATTTAATACTCATGATTAATTATATCTGCTCATGTTGAAAATTGGTGTAAATTATATTATGGTCTAGAACGTCTAGCTAGTTGGTTGTACAACATCTGTTGGACTGATTCAGCCGGATCAAGATATAAATTTGCTAGTTGATTTGAAGATCTTTGGAAGTCTATGAGCCATACTGTCATAGGTCATATAATTAATGCAACTCAATTGATTAATAAATCTTCCATTCACAAATTGTGTCAACTTCAAAATCTTTATTCATCGACCCCTGATCATTTGAAGATTTTCAATCATGTAAGTGTAGTATGGACTTTATAGGAACCTCTAATCGAACAAATGGGTTGCATAAAGAATGAATTATTGATGGCCATATCAATTATAAAATTTTAATTTGTTTTGCACTTAACGATACTATAAACACAACAATCGTGGATCTATAATATTGGTAGGTTCACGAGTCAATTGCAATTGCCAATCACATGTTGATTCTAATAAACCTAAACATTATCAGCTTTCTTTGAAATATATAGCTGCAGCTCATTCTATAATTTTGAATTTTCAAGTAATATTTATATATCCCATGATTCTATTGATGTAACAGAATAATATGATAATTTGTGCACGATCATTAACATTGAAACAACTGCACCAATTATTAATAAATGAAATATCATAAATTGAGTATAACTTACACCCTGAAACCGATTAGTGGCCCTGTACTTAACAACAAGCTCTGGATATGGTACAGATATATAACTGCAGTTGAAATATACAACGTATGTGGGCTTATAATAAATATATATATCGAATATATATTAAGAGACGTATTGAAAATTTGTTAGTCCTCGAAAATGAGATAACTATATAGCAAAAGAATAATTATATAATATATACAAATCATGGAAACAACAAGAACAATTTACCTATATACATAGGTACGTTATCTACAATAATGCTGTATTTCAAATTCCTGATCTAGAATTGAGTTCGTCCAGTCATTAATGTATTTAATTCTTCTAGCATTCCAACTTTCAAAGTTCAACTTTCCATCACCTTCGACCAGCTTACAATTTACAGGTCTACCTTAAAATCAACTTGTTCATGGAGTTGTTAAAACTCTCCAGAGGTACCCCGAAGTGTTTTCTATAAGCCATTCTGATCGATTCTATGTACTTTTCAGTACTGGTTTCCTATGTCTTCATCGAGTTAATAAGGGTTGAAGTTGAAGTTGAGTTGATGCTCTATCGACTTGAATTTCTAATTGTGCTTAAAAAGGTACCTTTTTAGGGGATAATTTCAAGAAAAAGGTTTGTTGTTGATGTATATTGCACATTCAAATTTTAAATCTTAATGGAAACTGTATTGTCCTTGGATTTTCAATTGTATATGATAAATGTCCATTGTCCGTGTCTATTGTCTGGCTCTCGTGTGTCTTTCTGTGTCTCGCACAGTATTTTGGAGTCTTCGTCATGGACCTTGCATAGACTCACCTGTTTTTTAAGTTTGACATGTCTCCCCTTATAGCGGAAGTTTAGCAGAAAATCGTCTCGATGTTCTCGATGTCCGGGACATCTGCGCTATCAGCCAAAAAGGGCATTTTATGTGTCTCCTTGAGGCGATGCGTCAAACGTTACAGTACTAAACAATTCTGATCTAGCATATTCAAATCTTATTAGACAGCTTAAGTAATACGGGATTCTACTACTAATTAAAACTATCAAAATAACACTTGGTAAACTAGTTCAGAAATTACAAATAACAATAAGGTTCCACATTCACCCTGATAAAGAATTCAATTTTATAGCGAACGGTAATATCCGGTATACATGATACACCTCATCTCAACATCTGAAACGATTACATGCCACCTCCAACGTCATACTCAAGTTTCAACCACACCAATCAAGAAAAACTGGAGATTCATGTCGGATTTAAATTGTTGTACATTAAACAATCGATGCATGGCGATCCTTATATTTCTTCTCCGATGATATTGACATAATCGATTTGAAAAATTCTATAAGATTCCATGAATATCCTGTAATTAATTTAGCTAATCTAGATATATCAGTAACTGAATATAGTGTAATATCAATTGTTTAGTAGTAATTTTACAACAGCTTTATCTCATCCAGTTCTGTAATTACAATATAAAATATTGCGATCGATCCAGCTCTAGATGGATGCTCAATATCATGATTTCTTGTCATCTTTAGCCGGTATGGGTACCTAGCTAGTATACTAATTATATATCACGGTCTTCATTTAACCGAATAATTAATATGAATATATATTACAACACTAGCTATAGCTATAGTTGTTCGAAAAACGTGTATATTAATTAGTTATGATGACGTCGTGAGTAGTGAGAAGCTGGAACTATAGACAAAGATCTAATAATATCTATATAGAACAAGTAACAGGACGTACTATGCATCTAGGTTCACAGCGTTGATATATAAATGTTAATAACTATAAGCCATAGTACGTATATATATATATACATGACATACATTACATCTAGCTTATCTCTATATATAATATTGATAATGCAATGATGACCGCTAGTGTATTAATTAATTGAGCATCTGAATCATTTCATGATTGGTAATCTTATATTATAATACTCAAGCTGCTAGGTGTGTTAATACAATGTTAAATATTATTACTATTGGGCTCTGAAAATGATAAATATATAATTGTCCTGAGAGTGCGCTGTCAAGTCTCAACTAGCTTTATGATTAATTGAATTCAAAGTAATACAGCTATGCATGAGTTTAAGGTTTAAGCCGGTGAATACCATAATATATACGTAATAGCTTTATGTTCCTGACTAAATTTAAGTACTATTTATTCCCATGAACAATAATATATATGATGTCGATATACGTTTTCTCAACAGAGGACGACATAAGAGGCTCATGGCCGACGTTGTTAGTGTTTGAAAACGTTATATATAGAAGCTTGAAACTTGAACTCTACGTCGACACAGATATCAATTATACTCATGAAGGCATAGACGTTCAAAATGAGCTACAACGTCGGTTGTCTTCATGAAGCATAACAGATTATATTAATTATAATCATTATATTCCTAATCAATTATTTAATATATTGTATATGATCTACATGCTCCTTTTCATGATCGTTAAGTACGTCGTGATAGACTAATAAATACCTATTGACATTAATATTATGATATTTGCCATTGATGCTCTAAATACAATAATATTATCATATAGTATATACTAGTTCATGATACTAAAGTTCAAGTTTTTGAGATCAGTACGTTATTAAAGTCATATTCGATCGAGTAATTACAATATTCAATATATACTTGATACAATTAGTTGCACATGAGCTCTATGCTCTGGCAACTTAAATATATCATGAACCTTGAGCTGAGAATGCACTCGAAATTCTCTGCCTGATAGGTAGATATTAGATATATACCAAAATCCAACTTCTTTATTTAAGTATCTACTTTGTTTTCAAATATATTCGATATAAAGTGTATTACACGTCTAGTAGCTATAACAATTACGATATAAAGTGTATTACACATCTAGTAGCTATAACAATTTCTATACTAGTAGTATATACCCGCGCGGAGAAATAGACAAATTGAAGATTTTACGTCGTAAGTACAGGTAAATTAGATGCAAGTTGCGGATGTAAAAAAAGTTTAGCCGGAACTATGAAAAAACAGGACATATAATTATTAACTATCATATGTCACTTATAGTTAAGGTATACCAAGATTGAAGATAGTATAAGATACCAAAATCTTTCAATCGTTTATAGTTATCAATTCGATTTAACATTTTTACATCTCAGTTTCAAACTTTAATATTAATGTATATATTGCAGGATTCTTCTACGGCTTTAGTGTCGTTTCAACCGTATGATGAACAAAACTCAACCTTAATTCGTGTATTCTGGTATGCTGTCCAATCGCCAGCCATTCCCAACCTTAAGTTAAAGAAACGCTGATTATTACTACGGTAAGACAGACGATTAAACCGACAGACGTTTTTTCCTTCATCTCATGGTTTATACGGAGCTGAACTTTGAAGGCTTTAATCGCTATATGAATCTAGATAAACCCATCTCATGTGAGAATGGTTCGATTAATACGTATCATAAGTCTGAAGATGAGCGCATTTAGAAGAAGGTTGGGAAAGAAGACAGATAAATAATTCCAAATGTGCACTTTACGGTCAACGGTCCAAAATGTCTTTTCTATCAGTTTAATAGTATAGTACTCAAGGAGTCTGAACTCTTAGTAAATATTATTATTTCGCGATGAGCTTAAAATCTAGTTCATCTAGGCACGAAGCAAAATGTTCCATATGATTCTATGGAATAGTGACATATTATATTCGACATTCGACATACTATTAACCTAGTGAACTTTTAAAGTATGAAAAGAAGTGATACAACAGAGTATAGGTAACTTATCAACTTATTATAGGCCAGTATAGTTACGTGTTTTAAACATGTTGAAACAATGTATTCATGGTGACCAGAGGTGATAAGGTCAACAACTCATATAAGTTGTGGCCCTGGATTCAAAACTAAGGTTAAGCTTAATAATATGATTAAAAACACATCTTACTTAAACTATATACCGTATAATCATATATAGGTGACGCTCACTAGCGAATAAAACAGTTCGTGTCGAAAACGTATTGACGTATTATAAATCTAATCTATTATTAAACATATATGCTTAAAGTTTAGTATAAAGCACCTAAGCAGTGAGCACTATAGCTTAGTGCTTGGTGTGTAAAAATATTGTAATGTTTTACGAACTAGATGGATGGTAATATTACCTATAGCTAAAGTTTAGCTTGAAACATCCACAAAACATCACGACGTATTAAAAAGTTTGCACAAATTGACGTTCTATATATTCGAGATGGTTTATACTTAACTGATTAAATTGCTGGTTGATAGAGTTGAGTAATTCTAGATGGCCCCAATGGTTTCAAGTAGCACGTAATTGAATAAATCGGCCCAGATTCCCAGCCAATTTCTCGATGTTTAATGATGTAGCATTGAACAGATTAATTATATGAACAATAGATAATAACCCCAATCAACAGTTTCTTGAAATTAATTTCAAAATTTTACTCAATTAGCATGAACCTCTCCATCATGAAGCTGTTTCTTAAATTTACCCTAGTATAACAAAATGCAGATTAATATGGACATTTTTGACAAGGTGACAAAAAATTTGTCCTTGTCTACTAATTCCCAGGTATACATAAGCTGCAGAACCTTAAATCCCGTAGAATTTTATATGGTGTTTGAGTCTTGACTCTTCGCCTCGTTTGTCCAGAAGTATGCGCATCATACATATAGCTGCATACATCCCAACTTTGTCTCGACCTTCCTTCTGAATTTTCGATTATGTCTATTCATGCAAACCCTATACTTTCCCAGCTATTGTGTGCGCATTCAAGATCCTCCTAATTTTACAGAAGGACTTTTTTCAAAACTTTCCCTCATCAACTTTTCAAATTGTATTTAAATGTTTTGAATTGCATCAATTTTACACTTTTGAATATCAGATCTTTATTGTTTTATTTCATATCAATCAAAAGTTGAACAAAGTATTATCGCATCAAAAGATATTTGTTATTCAAACTTCAAACCACTTTCAAACAAGTATCTGATAATACCGCATTCATCTTTAAACTCAGTATTTCATATACCCATTAGCTATTACATTTCACATATAATATCAAAAGAATTTCAATTTTGCTACAAGAATCACAAACATATAGATACCAATTGATTAATACAAGATGTCTCAAGCTCCATTATACAACACAGATAACGCAAGATATGAGGCTTATCAATTTAGTGACCCTTTTGCAACTTCATCATTTGTATGTTGCAACAAGAAATTAGGTAAAGTTTGTCGCCCAAACTGTGACCATTATCCAAAAGTTACTTCAAAAGAAGATGTTTCTTTCATATTTGATGCCAATCAAGCTGTTTCTTTAGGTTTTGAATCATGTGAACATTGTGACCCTATAAATCCAAGCACACAATTAGACTTACCATTAATCAAAATCACAATAGAGGCTATTAACTCCTCAATAGGATTCACAGATGACGCTAATGACTTGAAAAGAAGAGCATTCAGTGTACCTTCAATCAACACAAACAATGGTCATTATGATCGTCAATTGACTAGAAATGAATCTGAACACATCAAATTGGTTGAATTAGCTTGTCGTCATATAGCCGCTGCCGCTGCCATTTCAATCTCTAAACAAAATGAAGAATCATCACAAGGAGGTAAAAAGAAGAGAAGAGGTGGTGTCTTAGGTTTCAAAGAACTGGCTTCTAAATCAAAATTATCACCATGGCATTTCCATCGTGTTTTCAAATCTGTCACTGGCTTAACACCAAAAAGTTATGGTGATCAATGTTGGAAATACATCAAGGATCATGATCGTCCACCTACTAAAAGACAACGTTCACATTTCAAATCATTATCAGAAGTTCAAAATAACTTCCAAGCTCCAAAAAAAGTTTACAAAAATGATCATTCACCAGTTGCTCCAACCGCTCCTGCTCCTATTCCAATGGCTAATCTTTCACCAACAGCACCTGCTCCAATTCAACCAATAAATTTACAACAATCACCAATTGCACCAACTGATCCATCAAGTATAAATGCACAATTATCCTTCAATGGTGATCTATTTGATTTGAATAAAAATAGTTTAGATATCAATATGGCACCATTTAGACATCATAGTTTGGATTTGGGTACATTAAGCTTAAACCTTGGTGATTTAGATAGATCAACTTCATTATCACCATCATCAAACTTAATTCCAATCGGTACATCAACAAGCTTTCAACAACCTCAACAACCTCAACCTCAACCTCAACAATTACCTCAACAAACTCCACAATACCAACAATTCCCAAGTCATATGAATAGTTTTAGTTCAGGATCTACAGGTTCAGCTGTTAGTTCATTACAAGTTCCAACTACAACATTTAGTGAATCTGTTAGTCCGGCAACAGATATTTCATCATTCAATGCAAATCCTATTGATAATTCATTATGGCCTTCATTAGAAAATGCTCAACCAGCAAATCCAGATATGTCAAAGATGTGGACACCACCATCTAGTGTTTCAGAAATTGATCAAAAACAAATTCAACAACAACAACAAAAAGAACAATTTAATAAAACTCAAGAAGATTTGGAATTTTATGATGTTTTGAATAAATCACCATTAGATGATAGTGAATTTTTGAATCTTGATGGTACTGGTGTTGATTATTCAATCTTGAAAGATGGTTCAAATGATGTTGGCGCTGGATTATTTTTAGGTACTGATGGTAGTGAAGTTTTCAATGATATTACCTTTAGAGCTCAAAATAACTTGATGATATAAAACTAGTGATGATGTATTTTAATTCTTTATTTCATTAATTATTACACTATGGATTTGGTTTTCACAAATTAATTAACACTAATACAAGCTTTCAATTATGGTTTCAGTTTGGTTTTTTTTGCTTTATGGTTTTGCTTTTTTGGTTTTCGTTCTTGTTTCACACTATATTACAAAATTTATGAGTTTGTTAATTTAGTTCAGAACAATATTATATTATACAATTGATTTTCAAGTTTTTATATTAATTATGTACAATTTTCCATATTGTACGTCAATTTACAAAAAAGAAGGGTGGGTTTATTTATATATATAGTATGCTGTCTTTCGGGATATCACATATTATTAAAATGGTTATGATTAAAATTTTCTTATGAATAGTTATATATTGAACTTCTTCTGTAGTATCTTAAAAATTATCACATACACTTAAATTTAGATTGAGATTCAATGCTCTCGATAAAGTTTCGAGCTGAAGACTCAACTAGAGCAATAATATTATAGCTGGTATGTTGAGTCATGATACGTATAATTTTCGATTTGATAAACTTTTCGATATCGAACGACGTAAGATACTATACAGCATTTGGTTATTCGACTAGTTTCTATACCTAGTATAACCTTTATCTGAAAGTGCCCCTGTAGCTGGTGCTTTAGTGGCAGTGAACACTGGAAAATTATACTCAAAATTCCGGTATCACATCACTGTATCAGTTGAACAAATTACCCAAAGATGTCATGATCGATCGCGGACTTCCATGAATTTTGTACGACGTCATTTCGCTGCAAATTTTAGAACAATAGAATTGAAACTTTTTTTGGTAAAAATTGTGTACCAAAAAGTTCAACTTACAGCGCTGAAGCCTGATAGTACACAATTATGTCATTACGGAAAAACTATGGATAGACTGCAATAAGGAAAAATGGCTCATATAATTCATCTAACATAGCTGCTGATTACTATAATAGTATCTATTGAACAGCCATATTAGTGTAGTCGATGCAACGGTTTAAGTATACCGTTATAAAGGGCAGCTTTGGCTTAAATAGCTCCATATATGACACTGATCAACAAACTATATATCAGGTATGCCGAGGTTCTTCTATTAATCTGATTCAATCGTCCATTATCATACAAGATATACACTTTGGAATTGACAGAAATTCTGTGTCAATGAATAATATTATTAGTAATTAATATAGTGTATATGTTATATTAGGATTCGAAAAAGTTGCAAGGCTTAAATATATTCATTCATTCATGAGTCTATTGGGCTCTTAAGCTTATCAGCTATATGATCGTAAATGATGGGATTGTTGAGCTCCATATGCTGAACATAACTAGGGGTAGCTTATAAGTTTAAACTTTCATAGGTTCACTGTCAAATGTTAAAAAATTAAGGATTGAAATTCAAAAGTTACGTGATGGTTAAACTTCAACCCAGTTTCAGATATTTTGTACCCAATTTTCAATTCCAATTTCTTATACATGCTAAAGAATTTAGTTCCTTACATAAGCTATTCCGTAAGCCATGCAGACTTTTATGCACAATGATTTATTTCGATGAGTAGTAGCTGTACAATTTAAGTATTTTTAGTACAGGTAACAGAATACAGAATGCACAATAATTTGTGTCCCGAGCGAGTTGCCTAAAAATGTCCGGACCTTGATAGAATCAGAAAAGTCTGGACTTTCAGTGACAGGAAGTTTGGAGATTAATCTTGAGGAGAAGATAATTATTATATTTTGATGGAGAAACTCAAGCTCTAATTCGACTATTGTTGACTTGTTTGTCTAAAATAGTAATAGTTCGATAACGTCACCTGGTAGATTCTTATAAAGATTAAGGAATTGAATTAAGATCGTTAATGAACTTCATGTATCAGCTATATAAGATGATCAAGCTCAAACATATACCTCTGTATAAATGGACAATTGAATTATATACCATTACGATCTAGTCGCTTAACATAAAGACAATGTAGCCATTTGATGATGTTTCAACCTGGTCACAGTGAATTAATTAATAATTTAATGTACCCAGTAACCAAACAGCTAGCTAGCTGCCGCTAGTTTAAAGTTCGATCGGGTTCTCCAGCTCGCCCATGTATATTTATTAATTAGCTGAAGCTAGTCGTACTAATTTTACCAACCTTAAAGTACCTAGCTTGGATTACAATCGATCGAATATGTATGATTGATGCTGAACTCCGATAATATTATATACATGATTACTGTCATCTATGGTACGTGGATTATCATAGAATATATTATATGCTATAGTATAGCTAGTGGTCAACATAAATTGTATTGTACTACTATGTCCTTAAGTCTGTTAAGTTATATAGGACGTCATTGTTAACCCGTAAATTAATATGATGAGTTAATAAATTAGTATAAGGTTGTACTAAACGTTTCAGAGATAACTTCGAAATGTCCAACGTATCACATATATAATAATTGATGCACAGCTATATATGTCCTTATACACTCAAGTTTCAACTTATCAACTTTAAAAATTGGCTAGTGCATCTGGTATACCACTTGTCAAATTTGAACTCTAAATAGCACAGCTAGCTGTTGATTTAAAATATTGAGCCTTGTGTCAAATACTTTCGTCCAAAACAATTATTTAACCGCTTGACATGGTAAATTTGAATTTGAAGAAAAGTTGGCGCCGCCTTTAACGTTTAAGATATGAAGTACCTCTATTAAATGAGGCTCTAGATATACTAGATCCAAGAATTGACCTTTTCATTAACTTGATCATGTTCAAGATGCGTTGGGTTTCGCAATATTCTACAGATGCAATATGGATGTTTGTGACTTGTCTCCAATTCGAATAAGTTATACACATGATATGTCTATATTGTGTTTTATAATTGGGTACTGGAAGTTACAATTACTAGCTATATTAACCTACTATAGCAGCTAATTTGTATATTATTATATAATATTATTATACGTACTGTGAATTATATTAATTGCGATTCAGCTCATGGATGTACGAATTATATCTGCATATATAATATATATTTGATTTAATAGGTTTATACCTAGAGCTTATATAATACAATTGAGTGATCAATATTATCATAGTTAGCTGAGGTTAACCGTTAGCGTCAGCAAGACGAACTTGAATGAACTACTTTCCAACCTTTGCGTCGTACTTTCAATATTTACGGTCATGGCCTAAGTTGCAAATCTTGGGGAAGCCAAGCTATACATGATCTCCTTGACTTCATGATTATTGATCACAGCTGCTAATATTTCATAGATCTATACATATAGCTTTCTATGAATTCAGGATCAAAGCCTCCAAGTATCTTAGAAGTTAGTAGAACGTCAACAGGGTACGTCGTCGATGTTAATTTTTTAAACAAGTAATACTCTATAAAGGACGTTACCCAAATTATATAACACCGGCTAAGCTCGACCCAGATTTAAGCAGTAGACATAATAATATGTACCAATATCTCCCCATTATAAGCTTTACTAGAAGTTAAACTCGTAAAATGAAACTAGCTGTTACATCCTTGTCATGGTGACTCCTTCTCTCCTTCTTCAGCTTGTCCCAATTTGACATGATCATATCTATATCCTAAATCCGAATAATTATTTTGGAGGTACATATGAAAGCTCAAGACATATGTACTAAGAAACTTATGAAGTTGAAATATTTTATCAATACAACAATTGCATGCTTTAGATGATATTTTATAAGTGCAAGATCAGAAGATATGCTGGTGTATAACGTCCTGTTTACGAGTTTGATCTATGAAATTCTATGCAACTAACTAATAGCTACAAAACGCAGCTAGTCATTCTGTGATTATACACTATCTATGTTTAAAGTGAAATTAATAGTACACATGAGCATGTAATAAATCGGATAAGTGTACTTCGAAAATAATTCTTTAATGTGTATTGTACTGGGGTCCTTCTACAAGGCTAGGTGCGCTTGGTATATATTAGCGACACGTCGTAGTGCTAAACTCATCATGAAACAATAATATATATATTATACTAAGCGAGTAACTACTTTCAAAATCATTAAATAATTAGCTAAGAATCTATGTATAGTGTATAAGTCTCAACGTTATATTATCCTCGTATCAAGAATAAACTTCAACGGTGTCTCATATCTATATATATTAACTGCATGTGAATTGCGCTCTAACGGAAATAGTAGGTAAATTTCATGTCAAGTTTAACTAGGTATAATAACATTCGATTAGTAATTTCAGATATGAGCCTGGTGGCTCAGAAATTCACATATATATAATCTCGACTATATATTAATAAGGGTAAGCTCATATTAGTTAAATCGATCCTATATTTCACATTAATTTTCATCTTCGCTCGATGAAACGAAATCATACTAGTACAGCTGCCCATTCATATAACAGCTAGTATATAACATATACATTAGATCATGATCAACAGCTTATATTTATTCAAGTTGGATAAAAGCGCTAATTACTTTAGCAGCTTAAATATAGGTTGTTAGGCCTATATACAACCGCTAATCAAATTAACATTACGTAAATATGTACGTTCCAATAGTTTGGTACATCTACGTAGTACGAACTACTCTATAAGTCTAAACTTCCAAGAGTAAATATACAGAAACTTGCACATTTTTTCATATAGGCGCTAAGTGGTTATATAGGCTATGAATTTTCTTCAAATTTTAAGTACGCCTTGGTGACACCTTTTTAATGTGTAGCGGGTAATATACGCGTAACGCGCCCCATATATTAGCTAATATAACTAGGAATTTAGACACATTATGTTATGCATGTTGAGATCAATATGTTCAATTTTAAGAGTTCTAGCAGGTACTGATGATTTAATAATTAATAATTGATATATAAAAAAGTCTTGACACAAAATAGCTTGCAGGATCATCTCCCTAAATTAGTTAGAATCTAAATATATACATACTACATATAATACAAAAGATTTAATACGTCTTAATCATGTACTTTAAACAACCACCTTCATGGCCTAAAGTTATCATGATACTAGAATGTTAATTGTGATAAGAGTATATATTAATGGATTATAACTGATGACTATAGTATAACATAAATGAAACAAATATAATATGGCAAATATTAAGCAATAAGTTTAAAGTAAAGAACTAAAATAAAATGTTGATGTTTTTTGTGACTTTTAATATAATATAATTGAGGATAAAAATGTGATAAGCAAATAGAATTGAAAGCAAATTTGGATTAATTGATGTTTATAATTATGTAGAACTAAATTATTCTTCATCACCTAATGATAAAGGATAAGAACCATAATCTTCATCTTCTTCATTTTTTTGTAATTGGAAATAATCATCTGTAACTTGAGCATCTTGTAAAGAACCTAAATCACCAGGTGTCATAATTGAATTACGATCTCTTGGAGAACCTGGAACACTTAAAGGTCTTGAAATTTTAATTTTAGAATTAAATAAACTTTCAGATTGGGAAGATGAATTATTTGATGAACCACCATTTGTTGAATCATTAAATAAATTTGGATAAGCTCTTCTTAAAGCTAAATTTCTTGCTTTAACATATTCAAGACCCATACGTTTCCAATCTAATAAATCTGATAATCTTTCAGTTCTATTTCTTTGATTAATACGTTGTCTTCTTGTTTTTTTAGTAAAATCAAACATTTGATCAGCTAATTGATCAATTGATTCATCAACAGATTTTAATCTTCTATCATTAATATAAATACCATAATCTGAAGAATTTTCAATTAGATTTTCCATATAACCACCAAAACCAGATAAATTTGTAGTTATACTTGGAACACCCATAACAGTACATTCAGCTGGTGTATAACCCCAAGGTTCATAATAAGATGGGAAAACACCTAAATGACAACCTCTAACAAATTCATCATAATCTAATGGTAAAATTGGATTATTTGCATTTAAAAATTCAGGATGGAAAATAATTTTAACACGATCACTTGGATTATTAAATAAACCAACTCTTCTAATTTGATTTAAAATTGGATCATTTGCATCATCACTCATATTATGAGTAACAATTGGTGGTAAACCATCTCTTTTCAATGCAAAAACACGTCTTTTCAATAAAACACGATCAGATGGACTAATTAAATCATCTAAATCAGGAATTTCTTTACCATGTTGTTGAAATCTTGAACAATGTTCAATTAAACGATGACCAATTGAATTTTGAACTTCTTTAACAGTATTTTCTAATGATTTAATGACAGCTTGACCTTTTAAAGTTTCCACAGTATAAGAATGAGTTTGAGCAGGCATAATAATAAATGCAACAACAGTTGTTTTGGAACCACTTTCTTTTAATTTATGATTTAATCTTGCTAAAGATTCAATGAAAAAATCAACACCTTTATTTCTATATTCATAACGACCTGAAATAAAGAAATATAAAGTATTTTCTAAATCAAAATCATAATGACCATAAAAATGACCTTTAATAAATTCATTAATTTTTTCCTTTTTAACAGCATGTAAATTTTGAAATTCATGAACAGCTTGAAATTTAACAACATTTAACCCATTCGGTAAAACTCCATCAGGTTTTCTTTTCAATAAATGTTCAGCTTCATAAGCAGTAATTAATGAAACTGTTGTGAAAACATCAGAAGAATGAGCAGCAGCTCTTTCAATACAATAACGATGATAAATACCTCTTTTCCCAGCTTCTGCATCAACATCAAAATTTGCTAAATTATTATAAAAATCCACAGAACCAGCACATAAATAACGACCTAATAAAGTAGCATGAGTGGTGAAAACAGTGGTAACATCAATTTTTCTTTTACGACATAAAGGTAAAGCAACACCAGCTAACCATTCATGGAAATGAGCAATAACTGCACGTTCACGATCATGATAAACTAATTCACCCAAGAACCAAGCAACTAAATAACCTAACAAGATGGCATTATTAGTTTCATGATCACCATTTGGGGTTGGAATACCACTTATATTCCATAAATCAGTTTTCCATTCATCTAAATGATGAGAAGCAGAACCAACATCGAAAAGTAAAACTCTTGGAGCACCTTCAATTAACCAACGACCATAAAGAAATTTGATACCTCTTGAAGCCATAGAATCCAAGGCAGTTTTAATATGAGGATCTGTAACTTTTAATTCTTCAACCTCGACAGCGGCACTTTGATAACTTAAAGGACCAATTAAAGTATAACGATCTTTATATTCTTGAGAAGTGATTGGAGCTTTAGATTTCAAGACAGAATAAATCCCACCAACTCTGTTGGCGACTTCAGTAGCCACTTCGAATAATAAATGGTTTTGAATATCTCTAGCCATGATTGATGATTATAATTGATGATGATATTATAACTCAAAAGGGGGTTTGGATGGTATTTTGGAAAACTAGGGGGGTTATTTGGAAGGATTTAAGATAGCAATACAACAGGGCGCTTAGATGGATTGTTGATGATATGAACAGAGCAGGTATCCTTTTAGCCTTGTGTTGGTGCAATGATTGAACTTTTGAGATGAATTTGTCAATTTGTAAAAGGATTGAACAAGTTTATAATTGGAAATTTTTATGAATTTATTGAGAAGTAAAAAAATAAAATTGAGTTTATTGAATTACCAAATTTGATTTTTATGGGGGTTTAATTGGAAATTCGAAACAATCTGATTTTTAGCGAGATGGTTAAATAATTCCCAAAGGAGATCTTGAACAAGTCCAAAAGAGTGTAGGCGGACTTAGGCAGGGGATGGGTAATGGCACGCACAGAGTCCCCCCAGAAGCCCTGTGTAATGTACACTCAAGTGGCTGCACTCCACAAATTAATTACTTGATGACTAGCCAGCACATGAGCTGACCATTGACTGACCATTGACCAATGATCATTAAACTAGCAAACAATGGAGATGGCTGCTACAAGTTGGAGCTTATGGAACACTTGAGTCCGGAGAAGTTATTGTCAATTGACTAAAAGCTGTACTATTGTAGGTTCAGCTAAGCAGCTTCGAGAATATCTTTAACTTGTTGGATATTTTGTTGAATAATTTCAACATTTGGCTGCATTGACGTCCTTGAATTGCAACTGAATATGGACATATCAGGAATAAGTAGGCTATTTAATTCATGATGTGGCTAACATGTATGTGATATAGTTCATATAATGGCCAATTGATGGTCAACCCTTATAACGTTATATCCTTCAATTGTAAAGCTGGTCTTCCCTATTTCTTCAACATGTTGATCTATTCTGATATTCATAAATACGAGATGAAACATCAACTTGGTGAGAATACCCGAGAGAAAATCGAATACACTAAGAGAGTAATGGTAATACTGGTGCTACTAAGTTGTAACTTGTAGATGTGTATAGCTCTTGACTTTGAAATATATATCTATTCCTAGATATCAAATGATCCATGGAATAACTTTCCCAAAAGAAACTTATTCTGTATTGTCTTTCGGATAAACTTAATGAGCCTTACAAGTTATAATTACTTCATATACAGCGACTAGTACCGAATACATCAATTAGCTGTGCAGCTAAAGTTTGCAGGATGTATATTTGTACAGCATATATGGCTGTCTAAAAGCTTGGATCATAGTTGTGTTCCAGCTTGTAAAGTTATAATTTGTTGGGTGTAGCTAAAATTAGAAGTAAAGATTTGTACCATCTTTCCAATACTTTAAAGCTGTCAAGTTATTACGAGGAGCTGCAATATAATGTTTACTAGGAGTCCATAGCATCACTTTAGGTCAATGGGAACTAAGATCTATGGGTTCCCAGCTTCCCAAATACCTTGACGCTTGAGAGGTCTAACTTCTTTATTTCAAAAGTCTTTTGATGTTCATCATATGATATACATGCAGCACTCCTTATTATAACCAGACAAAAAGGGATTATGCATAGCTTTATACAACCGGGTCATATAAACTGCTTTAGGTAGAACAATTGAACCTTTAAATTGAACCACTTTCTCAGATGTCCTGTCTTCTCTTATACTGATTTATAAAATTGTCCTTGTGTCTAAACTTGTTTAAACTAATTTGTCTTTGACGTTCGCGATTTCTTTAAAAAGTATGTGAAAATTAAATCTTCACCAAAAAAAATACCAAATCACAAAAAGACAAAGACAATTTCAATAGGTATATAAGGATATGACATCTATTGAAGACTTGATTCCAAGTGATTTGATAGGAACTGAACTTAAAGTAACCATAAAAGATCAAAGAATATTAATTGGTATCCTTTTAGCATTAGATAATAAACCAAATTTATTATTAAATAACGTTATTGAAATTTCAAATCAATATAATTCAATAATTGGATCTGAAAGTGAAAATAAAAGAGAATTAGGTCTTGTTTCAATCCCATTTGATTCAATTGAAAATATTAAAATTAAAAATATAGATCTTGATAAAACTTTAGATTGGAAAGATAAATCTTTAAATTAGTTCAATATCAAATTAAAAAGGTGAGAATTCGCGGAAATATCAAAGGTTTTTTTTTTCTGGACATTTTATAGATTTTTTGGCGTATCAAATATATAAACAAAAGATTATCAAAAGACAGATCACATACAAAACAATAAAAATGACATTACAACAAGCAAGTACGGTGCCTATTAAGAACGGGGATTCGATAGAGACAGTTACACTGAAGAATTTAGTTGCTTTAGATCTTGTTGAAAAAAATGAAAATATATTAAAATTATTTAAATTATTTAATGATTCAAATTTAAAATTTAATTTAAGTGAAAAATTAACAAAAGAAAAATTAAATAATTTAATTGAAGAAAATAAAAAGCAAATTGAAATTGAACAAGATGAATTGAAAAAATTAAAACAAAATTTAAATGAATCAAATAATAAAGATAATGAATTAATAAATAATCTTTCAAAAGAATTTTTATCTAAAAATAATAATGAACAAATTGATAATACAAATAAATTAATTGAAAATTTCGAAAAAGAAAATAATGTTCAAATTAAATATACTAATAATCCAAATTTTTATAATCAACATTCAATAAATTTTGGTTTAAAAATTGATTCAAAACCTGAATTTCAACCTGAACCTATAGATCAACCAGAGCAGCAACAACAACAACATCAACCAGAACAACCTGAACAACAACAACCAAAACCAATCCCAGAACCTCAATCACAACAATATCAACAACCACAACAACCTCAACAACCTCAACCAATACAACAATAAGTTTTTGTATAATAAAATTTCCATAAATCTGCTTACATAATAAATACGTAGTTTATATTTCCGAGGTTTTAAAAATATTCACGTGATATTCATTTTCACCTCGGATTTCCGTTTTCGGGTGTGCTTTTAAATTTGTGAGTAAATTATGTCACACAATTTAAAAAGTAGATAACCATTTCACTCAATTTTATTCTTTTTTAGTTCAATAAATTCAAATTTTGAGAATAAAATTACTGTTTTAATTAAAAGAATTGATAATCAGTATATTAAAATTTGGAAATCATATTTGTTAAAATCTGAATTGAAAAGTTTATATATAAAAATCATACAAGTTATAAGTGTGGGTTAGTTATATTTGCCATTGATATATTTAACATCGTCTGATAAGCATAAAACAAAATGAGGTAAGTAAACATAGTTTATGAAGTCATTTGATAAATGGTTACTAACATGTTATTGTTAAAGTTCACCAAAAAGAAGAATTGAAACTGATGTTATGAAACTGTATGTATTATATTTTTACTATGGGGCAAATGGTTAGGAAAATGACACTACAACATTTGATTCAAAATTTTGTTTATTGAAGAATATGATTATTAACAAATTAATTAAGTCTTATGAGTGATTATGATGTCAGTTTAATTAATGATAGTATGCAAGAATTTTATGTTAAATTCAAAGGTCCTGAAGATAGTGAGTATTTATATTTTTGTTTGCTATTATATTAAAAAAATTGAGAATTTATTATTAACTATTTTATTTTAGCTCCTTTCCAAGGTGGTACATGGAAAATTCATGTTGAATTACCAGATCAATATCCATATAAATCACCATCAATAGGTTTTGAAAATAAAATATTTCATCCAAATATTGATGAAGGTTCAGGTTCTGTTTGTCTTGATGTTATAAATCAAACTTGGTCACCAATGTTTGATGTTTTCAATATATTTGAAGTTTTTTTACCTCAATTATTACGTTATCCAAATGCATCAGATCCTTTAAATGGTGATGCATCTTCTTTATTAATGAATGATAAAAAATTATATGAACAAAAAGTTAAAGATCATGTTAAACGTTATGCAAGTAATCCAAATTTAGGTATTGGAGAAAGTGAAAGTGAAAGTGATGATGAATTAAGTGATGTTAGTTCTTTAAGTGATGATGATGGTGAAAATGATGCTGATGATGGAATTGATGTTGAAGATGATGATGAATTAGAAGATGATGAAGTTGTTGGTGAATTTGAAGGATAATTCAAAGAAAACAAATATTATATCTTTTTCTTACATATTATTTCATTTAAGGTTTGTTTTTTATTTTCTTGTTTGCATTGGGTGTTGAACATCAGCTTTAATTATCGGTTTAGTCATGTCATATTTTCTTTCAATTTTTTTTATGTATATATCCTATTTTTTGATATTATAGGATTTATTTTTTTAACGGGAGTTTTTTATCTTTATCATCATACAATATCAGCTTTGGAAAGATCAGAAATAATGTCAATTTTCAGTATCAACGTTAAATCATGACATGTTGTTGGTATGAGAATCACAATATTGAGCTATTGAAAAACATCTTGAAGATGTTTAAAATTATCTATTGATTAAATTATGGATCAAATTGAAATCATTTATAATACAATATAATTAAACATATATATATCATATAAAGAGAATATGACATTTGTAGAGATAAGTTTATTGGTATATTATATCACAACTACCTTGAAATTGGTTCAATTTCCATGGAAAAACATTGAGAAAATGCCGAATTTGTTGAATTACCAAACTACCATGGAGGCATAATCCATAAACTATTTCATAGATTCTTTAAATCGAAACTATTTAAAAGTCTATTCAAAAATTTGTTTAAAAAGGTATAAACTTTTAGTCACCATCGCGATAACCATTTCCGTTTTGGGACTCTTAATGATTCGCGCAATTTCTAGATAATTTCAGAAATATTAATACCTTGTACTTGAACTCTTGTTTCAAAATTCATTTCAACAACTTTACAAATTACGCCAAAAATTAATAAATTGGAAAAGAATCAAAGAAAGAAATCATGAAAGTATTAAGTTTATTACCATTATTAGCAGTCGCAAGTTGTTTACCAATCTATGCAGTGAGTATAATTGAATTTGTGATTTTGATTGCGTTTCAAAGAGTCATTAGAGGCGTAGTAGTTTGATAAAGAATCAAATACTAACATTTTGGATATTTTAGAACATTAGAGTTGTTAAAATCAATCAAGATGGTGTTTCAAGTATCAAAGAATACAAAGATGTTAATTTAGATGGTATTGATAGTCTTGCTCAATTAGCTTCTTCCCCAAATTTTAAAAAACCTGAAGATATTGAAGCTGCTTTATCAAAACATGAAAAAAATCCACATCAGAGAATTAGTGGTGTTAAACCTTGTCATGGTGGTCCAAAACATCATAAACCAAAACATCATAAAGATCCAAAACATGATGAAGCTCCAGAAAGTGTCGTTGCAGGTCCATTCAAATCTTATGAAGAAGTTAAAGAATTTACAAATAATTTAATTTCTTCAAAATTAGAACAAATTAATGAAAATGATTATTTAGAATCAACTAAGGTTTGGGCTAATGGTTTATTTCAAGATGTTAAAGATATTGATTTCAAAGAATCTTTTAAAAATATTGCATCAGATGATGAAGCTTTATTATCTATCTTGGCTGGATTCTTAAGTGGTTTTATATTATATGGTATTATTTATTTAGTTTATTTACGTAAATTATCATTTGATGAAAAATTTGAAGATTATGAAGCACAAATTCCATCTCAAGAATATAATGATGAAAAATTACCATTATATAAAGATGAAGTTTCAGATGATGAAGAATAAATGATTAAATGATTATAAATTATGATTATATATATACGGTATAAAAGTTTAAAGGTAAATTATTGGTAAGGATGGTTGGATTTTATGTTATTATTATTTTTTTATATTATATTACACAATTTTAAAATAAATGTTATGAGAATTATTAAATTTATTTTACGTACATAAAAGTATAATCATTAAATCTTCATGATTGTATATATACAAGTTGTAAACTATATGCAACTATTTAAAAATATGTTTTACTTTTTAATTATAATTCAAAAGAACTTTTCTATTATTGCATTGAAAATTCTATAATATCCATTATCAATCCAAGTTATCTTAAACAATAACAATTCCATGATCAATTAAACCTGGTTGATAATCTTCATCACTCGGCACTTTTGGGTTTAATGGTTTATATAAATACCATTTCTTCAAAGCATCAACACTTGCTCTAATTTTAGCTTCTTTTAATGATGAACCATAACTTTCACCTAATTTATTTTCACCACTGAAAACTCCAACAACGAAAACTGGTTTTTTAGTTAATCTACCATTTTCAGCTAATAATCTTGCAATTGGAACTTCAAATCCTTCTCTTTTACATAATCTTGATAATTCTCTTGTTGGTTGTTCGAATTCAAACATTGTAGAAATATCAAGTTTTCTTGATAAAATATGATCATAAATAAATTTTTTAGTTAAAGTTTCAGATTTTGTTGAAGCATATAAAGCACCAATAATTGATCTAACAGATAATGAATAAGCAACAGTTGGATCTATTTCACCTGCATTTTTAGTTATTTTAGTAACACCTTTTTCATTTGTTTTTGGATTAACTGGTAAAAATCTTAATTTACCATAACTATATTCAATTGGTTCTTCTCTCAAAAATTTTTGTAAAATTGGAGTTTGATCAACTTCGATACCCCAAGAATGTTCACCAATAGAAGCTAATGATTCATTTGATATATATGAATCAATAGCTGAATTTAAAATAATTGTTGGTAATCTTGGATATGTAGCTAATAAATTCTCACTAACATAATAACTTAAAAAATTTTTACCTAAAATATTTAATCCATAATTATTTAATTTCCCTTGAGATGAACGACATGTTAAACATCTTGCTAAAGTTGATAATTTAAATTCTTTTGGTAAATTTAATCTTCTATGTAATGATACTAATAATGCAGATTTACTAGCTTCTTCTTCTGTTATGATTTTGGAATTTGATGCTGATGATGATGATGTAGTTTGTGTGGTATTTAATGATTCTTGTGTAGTGGTTTGATTAACAAATCTTGTAGTGGAAAATGATTTATGAATCAATTTTGAACTTTGATTTATAAAAGGTTTTGATAAAACCAATGAATTTCTTATTCTATTCATGATTAATATTTTTCAAATGACAATGTGATGAAATATACTGTGTTCTCCCTGCTTCAAAGTGTATTCTTGAATCACCTCTCTATTCTTCCGATGCCCAATATTAACCTGAATGTACTTCTTGTTAAAACAAAGATCAAATAAAGTATATGTCACACTACTCTTCAAACAAACCGTCAATAACCAACTCTTTTTTTTTAATTTTTCATTTTTTTCAACAGTACTGAAAAAATCCGCGATTTTTCAAATTCTGAAAAATTAAAATACTTCCGCGAAATTTCAAACTTTTACCCGGCCCTAAAAAATTTAGTGATTACATAATTTGAGTATAATTTCAAATAATATATAGACTTCTATAAACTTTTGATCTTTTTTAAAGTTGTCTTTTCAAACTACAATATAAATTATTAGAAACGAAGTATATATATTATGAAGAAACAATTAGCATCTTAAAATTTATAAAGTGACTTGAAATGTCCACCATATATCCATCTTGAAGTAGACATGGCTTCAAATAACAATCTACTAATATATAAAGTATCATAAAAGTCCAGCTTTTAATAACTTTAATATGTCAATGGTCATAATCATAATATCCATAATCATCATGCAAAGTGTATAATATAAGTTGTTATAATACCAACATGGTGCAGCTGAGCAATTAGATTATTAATTAAAAATTTGGATAATATATATTTTTTGAAAACAGTCATGATTTATATTTCTTTCAATAACATCATGGAACAAACTTGAAATTAGGAGGTAAGAAAAAACAAAATAACTTCAAAGAATTGAAAAAATTGTGAAAACAAATTATAATAAAAAAAAAAGATAAAAACAATAAATTAAAAGGCTGTTGAAGAAAATCATTTTGTCTTTAATACTTCTATTAGAAAGTCCTAGAGGTGTTTGGAAAGTTGTATTGATCTATAATGGGTATAAGAAAAACTAGTTGAAATGATGAAATGATTATTTAGAGGTTGAATTTTTCTTTTGGGGATTAAATTTATAATTTGGATAAACTTTTGAATGAGTTTCTTTTTCAATTTGTGCAAAATTTGAAAATTTTTGAAGAACTTGAGGATCTTCAGTTTTCCATAATAAAGCAATAACTTGAGCAGTTGTATGATGATCTAATTTTGGTTGAACACCAACAATTTCATCTAAAATTTTGGATTTTGGATTGGAAATTAATTCTTGTTCAATTCTATTCAATTCATTTAAATCATCAGTCTTAATGAATTCAGCAACTTTGAAAATACTAGCAGCTCTAATCATTGCAGTTCTATAAAGCATAAATTGATTTAATGGTCTCTTAACTTTACCATCTTTTGGTTTACCATTAGAAACCAATTCTTCATAAAGTTTATAATTGATATGATCTTTCAATATAGGGAGATGTCTTAGCCCGCTAAGTACATTATTGGCTTCTGATACAGGTGTATCATATCCACTTGATGTACGACAAATAATTTCAAAACTATCTGAGTAAGGAATTTCTCTCATATTCATTCTTGGTGGTTTTTCATCATTAGATTTTTCTTTTAAACCAATTTTTAAGTTAATTATATTCAATTTCTTCATGATATGTTTTTGTTTAAAAGAATCTAAAATTTGTGAAACATCTGAAAGTTTTCTTTCAGCACCTCTATTTAAAATCTCATTATATCTTTCAGGTGTAATTTCTGAAACTTTAATCCATTCATAAACATTTTGAACATCAGGATTATAAATAATTGGAGTTGGTACGTTATTGGAAATATTAATACCAGAAATACCTAAATCACCCATTGTCTTAGATCTTTTAGCTGAAGGTTTGGAAACACCACCAGCATTTGAAACTGATGATCTCATTGGTAATGAATCAGTACTACCCATCTTTTTAGCACTATGTCTTTGAATAGAGTTATTTTGAATTTGTTGTTGATAATAAATAGCTTCTTGAGCTTCAGCAAAAGAGCCAGATTTTGGTGAATGTAATGGTGAAGATAATTGAGCATTTCTGAAATCAAGATGTGGAGGTAATTGGTCAAAAACATCATTGTTGAAATAACTAACATCTGCTGAGTTTGGTGCAGTCATTGGACTATAGTGATTCATATAATTTTGAGCATTAGCAGTAGCTGGATAATGGTTACCACCAAAATTTAAATTAGTTGCAGATCCGAAAGCTGAACTTGGAACTGTACTTGGTGGTGCATTTGAGTCTCTTGAAGATAATGAATAAATTTCTTGAGCTTCATTATCAGCTGGTGTTAATAATCCATTAACAAAATGAACATCTGTGTTGTTCTGGTGGTTGAATAATCCATTATTCAATGGGTTGAAATGATCTTGATGTTGTTGTTCAGAATTATAAGCAGCAGTTTGTGAAAAAAACAAATCGTCAGAATTGAAAACTGAAGAATCATAAGAATCATTAGTTGAAACTTTTTGACCTTGTGGAGGTAATGTATTTGTAGTGATAGTTTGAGGAACAATATTGGTGTTACTGGTCAAGAAGTTATTCATATTAAGCTTTGTAATATCTTCATTTCCTGACCCTGCGAAAAATGCAGCTTTTGGAACATATTGATCTTGATTTTCTGAACCAAAATGGGAAAAATTCATAGCTTGTTGCTGGTCTTGAGGGAACATTGAAAAATCCATGAAATCCATATTTGGCGCTTCTGTCAAATAATTGCTGTTGATATGATTTGTATTTTTGATGTTGTTGGTGTGTAAATGAACCATTACTGTGTATGGAAATAAATGGAAGGCGGATAAAGCTGAACCTGATAAGTTGGAATTGAACAGAGATAGTACAGCAAATGTAGCGGCTTAATGAGCTCAAATATTCAATGGTTGATATAGTCTAGTGATTGAAACACGGCGGCTAGTTTGATCAATTGGGCTGATTAAAATGATTAAAAAAGATTGTGAAAAAAAGCTGGAGAATAAGTTTGTTGATTCAATATGATTTCATAACAGTCTTGAATCACTTCCGTATTCTTTTAAACGTTGAATTCTATTATTTCTTTCTTCTTTTCTCTTTTCAAAGAACCGTTTCAATAATTTAGGATTAGAGGATTATAGTTTATACTTATATACGCTCAAGCTCGTGTGGTTGGTGATAATGGAAAAAAAAACCTTAGGTTTATTATTCGTGTTTGGTCAATGTATTTTCTTTTTTAGGCATGGGAAAATTAAAGTTCTGCTTAGCAGGCTGGTGCATTTGGTTCCTACAATTGACTGCTATATTATGCAACAATCTCTGTAGATGCAATCCGAGGGTTGGCTATGCATAGTACATCTTCATGTTTCACAGTAGGTCAAATTAAAGTTATGAGCAGTATCTAGTATTTATGCAAGAGGATTTAATGTAGTGTTTATAAAATTTAAATCAACTTATACTGTTAACTGTGCTACACACTTTTATACCTGAAAGAATATCTACTATAGTTGAAAACTGAAAATATATGATGATCAAAACATAAAGTTTCAAGAGCTGGTAGCTTTCAATCACGTCTAGACCAGAGAATACGTAGTCTTAATGGTGGTACAGTTGAGCTGGATTTAATAGGAGATGTGAACGTATTATGTATGTGGTCAGGAGAATTAGCTTTCCAGGATTCCGGAGTGAACCGCTCTAATTCCTTCATGGGCTTCTTCAACCTATTTGGTGACAATCGAATCACTTATGGTTCATCAAAGATAAACTATCGGGTATAATTAATCAAATGAATATCCTTCAGTGTAGTGTTTGAGAGGCTACTAATTTCTACCATACTTTTTGCTCTTTAATTAAACTTTCAACTAGTATTTTAGCCTAACAGGAAGACGATCCGTCAAAATTTAGGCTGAACAGTCACTGAAGGTAAACTTAAAGTACTATGAAAATCCTAAGTTTACGCGCATGTTTGGATTAAAAGCAATACACTGCACTTATCTTCATGATGAGCTGGTACCACATCAAAGATTAGCCATTTGCAGAATACATGTGAAAGGAGTGAGCGACGTAAAGTGTATGTGTGAGTTGTACGTACTATATACTTTAGTAAGTGAATCATAGCTCTCAAAGTTCTATATATAACTTCATGAGCTATATAACTGATTAATTAGACCGTATATTACTTCAAAATTAAAAGTTGAAGTACGATATTAAGTTTCAAACGTTGTGATATAGGCTCTAGTTCTGGCTTTCTGGCTGATAATAAATCTGGAACGGATCAAGCAGAATTGTGCTTTGAGCCTAAAGTTTCTGTTCAAATCCTTTCCATTTACATAGAATTGACTTTAAACTTTTTGAAACTATAGAAACATATTATTGAAAATTAAAATTGACTGACTGGGCGGAAATTCAAGCTTGAATCAATTATGATGGCTTGCTAATGACTGTAGAAACATCATATATAAAGTATAATACTCGCCGTTTATTGTTCCATGAAGTTTTCTATTATATACCTATACAGATTATAAACGAAGACCATTTAGCGACTTATCATGGCAGTAAATGCCCTTAAATGCGCTGCTGTAATAAGAAAATTAGCGCTACATTGTTTGATTAATTGATACTATACCTTATGTAATAAAGATGGAGGGGCAACCTACGTAGAAAGTTGAAACCGGTTTTGATGCCTGCCTGAAAGTAACCAACACTAGAATTAAACGTAATATAATATCTTGTTATGTATCAATTAGAACATTTTAAAATATTGATGGCTATTTACGAACATTCCATCAAGATATTAAAAGCGCTAGTAATCTCGTCATTAAAGCATATAGTATATACAGGTGGCAGGGGCCAGTATCTTGATGTTCTTTAAGAGAAATCTGTAAA